AACGAAAAGGGACATGCACCTGAGCGGCATTGGACTGCTTGTTTGGGGTGCGGATGTCTTCTTGCTTCTTTACACTTGAATCTCAGGACACAGTTGCGCTCCCAGTGCGCGGAGTTCTGGGGCACTCTCCGGCTCCCCGGCACAAATTGTGACGTGCTATGTCTGCTATGTGTGTCTGATGTGTAGGAAAAGCAGGATCTGCTAAGCATTAAGTTGCCGAGCAAGGGGCATGGTATCTGAAGAAGGTGTGGAACAGAGGACTGTGCGATTCTGCCATCAGCATTGCTTCTGTTTCACGTCCTTGGTTTCGATGGGTGCAAGCGTCAGGATCAATACTTGTTGGAAGGCGTTGCAATCAATCGAGAAGGTCCAAGAAACATTCAGGCACGCCTGATTGGCAACCGCATGTACTCGGCTTTGAAACACTTGTTGCGTGTTGCGAGCGCCTGGCAGGTTTAAGGAGCCGACAACGGTCGCGGAGAAGTTGTGCACGGCTCAGGATGATTTGCGAAGACAGAGAGTGTCATGCCCGGCAATTGAAGCCCCAGCCCAGGTATGGCATCCAGTGCAATACTGAACATTTACACTGCTAGCCATGAGGCTGCCTTCAAGAATACACCCCTGCGTACCCGAAGCGGACGCTGTGTTCTTGCAACAGACGTGCTGGCAACAGGCAACAGCAAGCGCTTGAATGCTTGTTTCTCGACAGCCTGCAGTTTTGGCATCCAGTCTCGGTCTAGCTGTGTCCAGAAGAGATGCAGACTGGAGCAGGTGCGATCAGGAAAGGCTGAAGGGCTAATAGCTGTCTTTGCTTAGCTGCTGCATGGTGCTGCCTGAGGGTCGCTAGCCAGCTGCAATGAAGCATGAAGTGCGGGTATTTCGTGTTTTTGCCTTCAGCGTGGGCTCATGGCCGACGACTTGGCCTAGGATCATCCGACAATGTAGCTTGGAGATGACAGCTTGGAGCCATGAGACACGGGAGCGCACTTTCCAGTATGTCTCTGTTCTGGTTTGCCTGGCAATCGCAGTTGTAGCAGCTGTCCTGGTGCCACTTGGTGTATCATTATCAAAATGGCCATGTCTCGCAGCTCTGCATGTCTGTAGTCACATATTGCGACGTGGGAGAGACCCTCGCATAAGACATGAGTTGTGCTGTTGCAGCTGTTGCAGTCAGTGCTGTTGTCACAGACGAGCAGTAAGCGCCTGGTTCAGAAAAGGATCCCATGAATAAGGGGACGAGAGCACGGAATCCCTCTTGTTCTTGTCTGGATGGCCGTGCACACGAATGCGAGGTATTGGATCGGTCCCACGCACCTGATTGGAGAAGTCCTGCTGCTTCTGCCAGACAAGCCTGGCTGCGGCTGGTTTGCTGCATGGGCCTTCCTACTATTGGCAACTGTGGTGTTTATGGTACCTTTGTGGCAGGCCATGGAGTAGGAACTAGCTGAGTCCAGACCTGTATTGCAGAGCCGGTGGAGGCCATCTGTGTGGCCTCTGGCCTAATGTTCGGTCGCGAGCTGAAGAAGTCCCTGTCCTCTCAGTGCTATTGCGATGTCAACGAGAAGTGGTTCGATTCGTTGCGCACAAGCTGAGGCCTTTGCGGTGGAACGGCTCTGAATTTCTTGGCCTTGTATGTGGCAGCCGTGATTTGCGCGCTGCTGGGCCGCTTCTTGCACCTCGTCAATGGCCAGTCCTATTTACCGAAGCTGTTGATGCAATAGAAATCTGCGTGTCTGCCAAGGTTGCAGGAGCCAATTCGAGGCTGGCTCGACGAAGGGAACTTTCCGACCGCCAAGAAGGCTTTGCAAGTACTGGAGGAAGCAGATGACTCTCTGGAATTCCAGATACTCTTTCGGTTTCTGTTCATCCCCATATGGCTTCGGAACTACGGGCCTGCAACCTTCCACATACCTCTTTGGAAGCTACTTGTGGCTGCCGTCCCTCACACGCTTTGGGTCTCCTTTATCATGGCATCACTTGGGGTATCTCTGCAAGATGCGAATGATTTGGTGAACGAGGGCGAGGAGTTGAAGATCTGGGATGCGAAATGGCAGCACCTCCTGATGTTCGTGGTGTCCTGCGTGATGTCGTTGCTCTTGTCCTGGTACTCTTATCGGAAATATACCGATATGATGAATGGTGAAGGAAAGCCCTTCAACCAGACCCCGTGACGAGAGCCCGTGACGAGAGCCTTGAGGTCACACCACTTCCTTGCTGTTTCACCCATTAGTTATGCAAACATGCGCCTGCAGATGTGACAGTTGACGCAAGCTTGGAGTGTTGCTGTAGGTCAAACACCACTGCTTTCTCGCATGCCTCTTTGTCGAGACAGTTGTAAGATCTTGGACTTTCCACACTTCTCAGACTCCGCATGCGAGCAGGTGCGATTTAAACCTAGTTGGTTTACATGCCTCGGCGGGCAGGGATGATGCGTTTGCAGTGTTTTGCTCGCTCCGGCCCGGTGGTGTGTGTGCGAAGTCAAGACAACAGAACGGCTCAAGAACCTGGGCCGAGTAAAGATTGTCTGCCCTGTGCAGTTCCATGTAGAGCCCGATGCTTGATGGGCACCTTGCAGGAAAGCCGTTCCTGCTTGTCCTGGCAATCATAGCGGCCGTGTGCCCGTGTGCCAAAGCCAGCAACGCAGAAGCTGTCGGAGGAGGCCTCGGCAACTCCATTGACGACAGCGTCGCTTTTGGTCCAGATGTGGACGATCAGCCCGTTGCTACAATCTTCAGCCCGAAGAGTTTTGGCGCGACAGATCTACTCAACTTGGATTCGGACGAGCTAGCTGCCGACGGTGACGAGACATGGAGTGGCTAGTCAAGTCAAGATCTTTTGCCCGTCACACTGTTCTGTTGTTGAAAATACGACAACCACTAAGGATCACAACCCAGAGCCAACACTGGCACAATTGATCCGTTCTCTTGCGTTGACACCTCTCGGCGGTCTGTCATTGCGCCGGGGTCGCATTCTTTGGAGCTCTCGTTGATGTCGAGCCTCTATTGACCTGTTCCCTCGAAGCGAGGGCTGAGGCTTTTGTTTCAGTCTTGGCCCATCAGTCGGTCTGCATGCTCTCTCGAATACAAGCCTTTTCTTGGAACATGAGTGAATCAAGTAGTCGTAGTCCCGAGACTTAGATACCGGTTACATCGGCCAAACCACCCATGAGGATACGGGTAGCAGAAACTGTTTTTCCACGCCTAGAGCATCATCGGCTGGGCACTAATGCCTCGCTCAGGCTTGCTTTGATTTTTCGACAGCAAGCTGCACGGCATTCTTGGAGAGACCGTGTGACTGCTGCACGGCAAAACATAATGTCCTTCATGTGCTTGTCGCTTGCGATTGATCGCGAAAGAGTTCAGCTCTCGACAAGGTGGATCGTCGAGACCAATCTGTGTTACGCAATCTGGCAAGAAAGCCTCGCCTGCTTCCACCGACCGTCCGGACAGCGATGAGTGGTAGAAGTCCAGAGCTTGTTTTGCTTGCCTCATCACCGCTTTGTGCATTGCGTTGCTTCCTATCGTGAGCCCCTGGAGGAACTTTATTCTTGCTGCTCGAGGATCTTGGGACTGAATTGGCTGGGGCCGGGGGTATTTGTGTTTTGGAGGCTTGGGCGGAGCCGTGCGGAGTGTTTTGGGCGGCCGAGGCCTGGCACTGCCTCAGAGGGGATGTTGCTCGGCAAAGCCAGGGAGCCTCGGCTTGGCGTAGTAGCCCTCAAGCCCTCTGAATGTCTTTCAGTCCCAAACCCTCAGAAGCCCTGAGAGAAGGAGTGCTCAAACACTGGCCAAGCGAGCCCAGGAAAGCAGTCCTTTCGCGAAGAAGATCATGGAGAAAGCCCTGTCCTCCTGGGACACTAGGGAGAAGACCAAGTGTATCAGCACGGCAAGATCCGCGAGAGGCTAACGCTTGCCAGTCCATGTCTGGATGTACAGCTTGTAAACCACTTCAGCCGACGTGCTGGAAGGCACCATCTCACTCACAGATTGCAAGACAAAGTGCTTCTCGGCTTTGACCTTCGCGAACGTCAGCCTCCGCACAAACTTTGGGGATCCCGGATCCCTCCAGGTCTTGAAGAGAAGCGCGAGGTTGAGCCGAAGGCCGCAGGGAGAGACTTGGGAGTTGGAGCGATGCGATGCGGTCACTCGTGGGAGGAGTGTGACGCCATCCTCTACAAGGAGAAGGGCAATGGACACATTGCTTGCAGAAAGCATCAGAGCAGAGGTTATGGTCCGTGATGAGTTTGGATCAGAAAATTGCAACATCCATCCCTTGTGAACCCTAGGAAAAGGCCTCTGCTTTGTGCTTTTCGGCTTGGATGAGCCCTCGTGCTACTTGACCCAAACCTCCTTGCGAGGTGAACAGAGCAAGTTCGTCTTCTTCAATTTGCATTTTGTGTCGTGCTACTTCTTAGGTGCAGAGAGCGACACATGGAAAACCTTGGTTTACAAGAAGAAGCCTCCTGGTGCAAAAGACTCAATAAGCACCAACAACTGGCAGCATGAGGTGGTTCTGAATGTATTGCATGTGTAAGGCTTGCTTAGCAGCTGCTGCAGGTAGATGGAGTTGGATGCGATGGACCGCTTAAAGGGCGAAAGTTGACTTTGGCGAGCGCCCGCTAACGTCGGCTGCAAAGTTCACGAGCGACATGGCGAGCGATTGCAAACAGGCTGCTGCACTGCAACACCAGATAGGTAGACAAGGTGGAACCGCTTCATGAGCAACCATGTCAAGCGCTGCTTGTGCCGAGCTCTGACATGTGGGCTTCGTTCTCACTGCAACAGCGTACGGTAGAACCGCAAACGCTGCCGTAAACAAAACGGCTGAGCTGCCCAAGCATCACCTTAGCTGGCCAAACATCCGGTCAAGCGTGAAGCCTTATCCCGAACCGGACGAACATCAGAATCGCAACCGGAAGAGTTGCAACACAAAGTGTGTAAGCTTCAACACGACGTTATATGCTTGCGCATGCAGAAATTTGAGAGCTGGCGCATGGCTCCAGGATGCGCAGGTGGATGCATTTCCCAAGGTTTGTGTTGTCATCGCTGGTGTTCCGCTGAATCCTTCATGTGGAAGGCGAAGAAAGCTTTCGGGTGCTGATGGCGGAGGGAAGAGAGGCAAGAAGCAAGTGCGACGGTGCGTTTCAATTTGCATGTTGGAGTGTTGAATAATTGAACTCTTACTGGGTCGTGGTCATATATATGGTGGATAGGATTCAATGGGATTCGTTGGCCCCACCACTCGTTCCGTTTTGCTTTAATGAGGGAGGGAACTCTGCTGCTGGTGGCCATGTCGAGTCGATCTTTGGCGGTTCCAGCATAGAGCTGGAAGCTTGACCACAAATCGTGGGCCACTGCTCCTTGACCTCATGTGCACTCCAGTAGCCTCAAAAGCAGCAGCTGCAGCAGGCTTGCAGGTGGAAAGCTCCAACGCTCTAAAGCAAGTGCCTGAGTCTGTTGCTCGTTTTCTGAGCATCGGATGTTCGATACCTGAGAAGCGAGGTCCCTGGTGCTTGATGCAACCGGCGACGAGCAGGCCTTTTTCAAAAAACGAGCGCTGAAGGGGAATAGTAGCAGCGAATCAATGCCGAAATGCAATTGAGAGGCAGACCTCTCCGGTGTGAACTGGGATGCGCCGGCGGATGCGGTTGCTTGCCTGATGTCCTGGAGAGTTCAGGTTGGATTTGCGCTGCACTGCGACTTACACTTGTGAATCTGTTTAAGGTCAGGTGTCGGCATGGAGTCCGCTTTAAGGCTCACGGAATCGGAGAACAGGCTGCCCATGATGTCCCTTTCGGCTTCAAAGCCACAGGTGGTCAATCCTGACGTTCCTGAGCGTCTTCGCTTTGTCTCCACTGGCCCAGCGTCGCAGGCGGGACAGGGACGGGATGACATGATGCAGAGCCTCTGATCGTTTCTTGGACGTCTTCCCTCTGATGCGAGGCGATGCGGCAGCTCTTGCTCGCAATAGGCATGGAAGCGGGCTCCGAAGTATTTTCGATTTTCTCCATGGGGCATGAGCTCATCACTTCTGCACTGGTTTGTTAGAGGTCGGAGGAAGCACAAGCTCATCATGCGATATTGGGTTTATAGTGCAAGGTTTAAGCCATGGAGTTCAGCATCTAGGAGGCGATAAAGTGCGATTCAAGCATCGGCTGAGATTCAAGCACAACTGCGTCGAGCACACGGCATTCGCACCACAATCTCGATTCGAGTACTGTCGATTCGAGTCAAAGTCAGCTTGTAGCACTGGCGGTTGAATCATGCATGAGACGGTTAAGGGCACTTGGTGCGGAGGGTTCCTTTGTAGGGTTTTCAGGGTTGTTGTGGTCTAGGCATTTTAGGGTTTAGGGGTTTTCGGGTTTAGGATTTTACGGGTTTAAGGTTCGATTGTTGCAGTTCAGGAGTTTCAGGGTCTATGGTTGTTAAGAAAAATGAATTCGATATTTCAATTGTAGTGGTAATCAATCTCAATAAATCACTGAAGGACTTCGAACCAACTTGTGTTCACTCACGGGGTTGTCGACAGAATTTGCGAATTCCCTGGAGAAGACATGTGCGTTGCATTTGTTTGATGCATCCCTGACTGGCAGACCAATCCTTGTTTTATCCTATTTCTGTGCAGCAGAGCGAACATCTCATGTTTAAACTGCTTAAGTACATGCTTCAGGGTGTACCGGGTTTTAGGACCTGATGGTTTTGTGTCGCTGAATCGTTCAAGGGGAATCCCCTCCTGCTCTCTTTTTCCGTCCCTCCCGACCTGCCCTGCTGCTCTGCCCTCCCTGCCCTGCCCTGCCCTGCTGCTCTTGTGCTGCGCTGTGCTGCTCTTGCCCGGCCCTGCCCTGCCCTTGCCTTGTCCTGCCCTCCTGCCCGGCCCTGCCCTGCCCTGCCCTTGCTGGGCGAGTCCGAAGGCATCGCACTTGCACGTGCGACTTTGTGCATGCACTTGTTGTTGTTCATAGAGACAACTACAAAGAAGGATCGATAGGTACATAGATGGATACATGCCTGCATCTGTGATTGAATTTGCACTTGGAGTGGCATGCGCATTCGGTGATTGTACTTGTGCAGAGGCATGTACGAAGATGTATGACTTTTTGTAAGTTGAGTGGCTTCACGGGGCTCCTGCGGCTCCTGCGAGGCACTGGGAGCCCGGTGCTGGTGGGCGGCCCTGCTGGAGTGGGGAAGACCGCCTTTGTAAGAAGGGCAGCCACCCACTCAGCGTGGATTTTCTGAGCGTGAGCCAGTCACGTTGTGCTTTGCAAGCTTCTGCCCGATTGAGCGCGGTCTAGGCAGAGTTGATGGGGCAGCAGGAGCCCGCTGCCTGCTCAGATTCCGGGTCATACTTGCAGTCTAGAAAGCAGAGCTCTCATGCCTAAGGTCTTTTTGTTCTGCGATGAGCAGTCGAAGCCAAAGTCAAATACTCTGAGCTTCGGTTCGTGTGTCCACCGGCGCATGTTAAGGACTGACATCAAGATGCTGCTCGGTGCGTACGTTTGTGGTGAGACTGCCTGGGACCCGTTCGCGTTCTATCCCGAACGCACATGCAACTTGCCACTGTAACAGGTAGGGGAATTTGTTTGGCGGCCTGGCGTTGTGACAGAAGCTCTTCAAAAGGGCAGGCCGCGTCGAGTCTGACAATCTCTGGCTTTTGGTGGTTTGAACCATTGACACCTGCTATTGTTATCATGTTCTGGTGCAAGCATGATCCCACATGTCACTCTGTTTGTTGCACTCTTGAGAGCGGCGTGTAACCTGTTCATTAGCAGCTGCCTGTCTCTCTTTTGCCAATTCCGGCTTAGCTGACGTTGGTTGTCTCCAGTCGAACAACGAACAGCCACATTGTGAAGCACAAGCCTTGGCAAGTGCCCTTTCAGCAATATTCGGGCTTCGCAACTTCGAAAGCCAGCACTCTATGTTTCTGCGGGGATCCGCCAACGGCCGGGAATGTACAGTCATCAGTAAGCACATCACTCGGTTTGATTTCGCATCGCTCCTTTTCTCTGGACAGGCTCCCAATCTTTCTGGGAGCTTGAGGTAGCCAGCGAATAGTTGCCATCACGGTCGGTGCTGGAAACTATGCCCTAGGTCACTCGTGCAATTCGGGCCGCGGAATGTAACACCACGTGCGGCTGTGCGAAGACCTCAAATCAGCATCCCCCCTGCGGAACCTTCAATGCTGGTATGTGTCCAAGAGGCTGCCGTTTCGGGGAGTCTGGGATCCGTCGGGCTCCTGCATGTTCAGTATGGATGTGATTCTTTTCGGGCCATGAATTCACTGCGAGTTTAGGGGTTTGCAGGCATCGTCACTTCTCATTCTTGGGGATTACGGCAATCGTTCCATACCACCGCTCAGCCTTTGTGCTGGCCTGGCCTCGATTTCGTTTTCGGTTCGAGCATCGGGTTTTCCAAGCATCGGTCCTTCGAGAGTGTCGTGCTTGTCCTTCGAGGGTTTCCGGCTCTGCAAGATTTTCGGTCTCCGGTTTGGGAAGCATCAAGTCAACTCAGTGTTGCTTCCTCACTGCTGTCTAGCTGCCAGCTGTCAGCTCAGTTTAAAGGCAAAGTCACTTTCATGGTGTGCAGGCTTTCAGACGCTGGCAGCCCGTGGGCCTTTCCAGGGTCTCATCGTCAGGTCACATCGTCGGTTTGACCGGGTTTGGGATTAAAGCGTGGAAAGAACGGGGTCTACAGGCGATGCTGGCGCAACCTGGTCTGCAGTGACATGCTGCAGCTATAAAGCAGTTGGATGTGCTGCACAGCCAGTCGCATCCGCATCAGCACCGAGCAGGTTTCACAAGTTTCGACACAGGGGGTGTTGATCGTGCTCTCCCTCTTCCAGCCCATTCTCTGCGACTCCTTCCCAGATCCGCAGACTGTCCGGAACCGTGCTGAGGTTATGTTTTGATTGGGTAAACTAGGAAGAACGCTAGAAGTCAGCACCGAAAAGACATTTTCGCCAGTCGTGATCTGCACGTTCTCGCAAAGCGTTGGAATTATGTCTAAGACCGAAACCCCGATTTCTGCTGCCACACTCGTACTTTATACAAACCTTGTTTTCTCCGTGAACATCTGTGGGCAAATCCACATTCGGCAGGTGGCTGGTGTTGGAAGATGTGGACAGAGTCCCTTCTGAGGCCTGTCACAAGCCAGTGGGGTGGATTGATAAGATGCAGCGTCCCTGGCCCGAAGGTTTTGGCTGCATTGCTCCCTCTTTCAGACTCTCGTCGGCTGGTTTCTTGCCCCGCTGCTGACAGTGACTGTTCTTTCTGTCACAGATCTCTGGCGTTAGGTTATACCCGATCGGAACCAGTGTCTTTCCGCACACGAGGCCAGCGAATGTGCAGGGCACAAGCCATAGACAAGCGATCGGGACAGTTTGGTGCTCGGCGACACGGCAGGATTTTCGACTCTTTGGTACGCTGTCCTGTGGCTCGGAGCCAGTGCTGATGACTGAGTTGCTTAATTCACGAGAGTTGTTTGCCAGCAGTTCGGCAATTAGGCGCTGGTCCTCACACGGGACCAAAGATGGTGTCCAAGAGGAGGTGCTCGGTGTTGCAGAGTCTGTAAAGGTGCCATTGGGTGCTCGCCAACACGAGGCTATCGTTGTCGCTGAGGAAGGCAGGCCATGCCTGGAAAAGTTGGGGCATGTTGCCCCATCCCAAAGAAGCATGGTTTCGTGATTCTTTTTGACTGCTTGGTTTCTCGTCTTTCTTCTGATAAACCATTCCCGAGTTCAGCATCGTGCCACTGCCATAGTAAGACTTAGCACTTCTCGCGACTTCTCAGCTGTTGTGAGTCCTCGTGACTGATCATGCTGTCCCAGAAAAGAAAGGCGGTGAAGAAGATGAGGAAGACGAGACTGACGCTCTACTTGCAGGAGATCCTGGAGCAAGGGGTCGCGCTATCGCCTCAGTTCCCTTTGCACGTCGTCTTTCTCCATTGCAGAAGTGCAGTGTTACCGAGTCTGCAGAGAGTCGTGCGTCTTCTGCAGTGCCGAACCGGCTCTGCAGCAAGGTTCCAGCCCTGGTAAGTGCTTGGGCGCGAGCTGAATTCTCAGAGTATGCGCATTCTCCACCCAAGAGTCGCCAACGGTTGCGCCTGGACCGCTTTTGAAGCTTTCGCAGGTCTGGTTGGCACCGCTTCAAGAGCTTCACCTCGCCGAAGTGATCACCGGTGCGCTGCAGGGCCATGCTGACGAGCGGCATCGAGCGGCTCAGTAGCGGCTCTGTTGATGACGTTTTGGGGAGGCTTGTTCCCGGAGCTTGAGCCGATCCGGGGGCAGCTGCTGGACTCTGCTTCGGCTCTGTCCGAGATCGAGATCGCGACACGAAACGTCACGTCTGGCTCCAGAAATGACTTGAGGCGGCTTGCCACGGAGGAAGCCGGGCCGAGGGCCGTGCTTGGTGGCTTGCCGGCGACCGGACCGTGCGGATGCCAAGTGCAATTCTGGTCGCTTCTCAGCTTAGAGCGTTGCCTCACAGGCGAGATCTGCTGCGCTGGTGTTCGCGGCTCCGGCTCTCGAACCTCGTGCTGAGCCTGGCGCCGAGCTGCCATGAGCTGCCGCTCTTGTATTGCACGCACCGTGCTTGCAAGTCGTACCTTGCATGACTTTCCCTGGTGCAGTGCAGTGCACCTCTCTCGGTGGCGAGCTGGGGACTGGACCTATTTGCCTGCAGCAGCATGACGAGAACATCGCAGGGCCCAATTGTAAATGCTTCGCATTTTCCTCGGTCAGGATGGCTAGGAGGTTCTAGCAGGGGAAGAGGGAAGAGCTGACCACTTCGAGGAGTTTTCAAAAAAACTCATACACCGTGACGCCGTCGTAGGATCCGTGTTGCTTTGTGCAGCGTAGCTTTCTCGCCACCCTGCCGCTTCGTCTGCACACTCTGCACACTGAAATTTCCTCCTTGAGGACTGGCTGAGGCTCTGGTTTGCAGGGTGTTCAAAGTTTCCTTTGTCAAATCGTAAGAAAAGGCCTTACAGTATAGGCCATTGCATGAGTGCAGTAGAACGAACATATCTGTTTATTCACTCTGGCTCTGCAGTGGTCTTGCGTGAGGTCCTAGCTTCACCGAAGACAGCCGAACCGCTCTTCTCCGGGAGGCATTGCAGGCGCGCCGTGTTGCGGTTGGTGCTCGGGTCCACGGAGTGCAGTGTGGTGCTGGGTGATGTTTCTGAGGTGGTCCTTGGGCGAGTGGCTGACCTCCGCCTCCGCCGCGCCTTCCTGTCGTGTCTTCACCACAGAGCATTGGCTCCGCGGTCACCGGGTCATCGCTGCCTTGTGACTTGAGGCCTGGCTCCGATCTGGTCCCTGAGCTCGGGAATCGCGGAAGCGCTGCTGCAGGCCCAAATCGGCACCCGGCCCACCCGAGCGAGGAACGTCAGAGCTTCCTCCGCCTTTGCAGGAGCGGCCCACAGTGACCTTGCTGCCATCTACCGCTCCCGAAAAGGCTCACCCCTTGAAAGCCTGTGCTTTTGCCACATTGACTTTCGAAGTGGGCCTCAGGTTCAGATCGGCAGCATCACTCTTCCTCTTTCAGTGCGAGGAGAAGATCCAGCTCCCAGCCCAGACTGCAGCACAGGGCCCTGAGGTTTTCTAGCGCCGGACCTCATAATAAACTAGTTAACTAGTTTCTGTTGCCAAATCTTACGGGACCCTGCTCCACGTTCCTGTGAAGCTTCCGCGGCTTCCGAAGGCTGTCCGATGCGCACCGTTTGCCTACACATCAGTCCATGCCCGAATCCTTCAGGCAGGAACCGTTTGTTGCGTGGTGCCTTTGGGGTTCCGGGCTTCAAGCCTTTGAGTTTGGAATTGACGCGAGACGGATCTTGAGTAAACTTCTGCAAGGAGGAGCGGTTTTCAGAAAGAGGCCATGCCTAGTCTCATCTCTCGTTCTTTTTCTTTGAATTGATCGTCGTTAAAGAGGCCGACCTTGGCCCTTGCAGACTCGCCCAGCAGCCCTCCGTAAAGCGCTGCACACACGGGCACCTCGCCATGCGCGCAGATGAAGTGAAGATTTTGCATGGTAGTGAGTTGCAGAAGATCCATAGCGGAGATGCCGCCATGTCTGCCTCCTCATTGCATTGCCCCTACGTTTGGGTTGAGCTCATACCAGGTCTGGCGGGAGTGGAGAGGAGTTGAAAAACACATATCACCCACGATCGCTGAAAGAGCTTCCGATGGAATCGTTGTCGCCCGCCGTCGTCTCGGGCCGTGCTCTCGCATTAAGAAAGTCATTGAGTCATTGACTGCAGCGGACGGGTAGGCTCTGGCATCCGCGATCCGTGCTGATGAACCTGCGCTGCTGGTGGGCCTGGTGCTCGGTAAGCACCAGCGAGAGTAATTGCCTTTAACTTTGCTCACACCCAAGGTGACACTGGTACCGGGAAGACCTCGGTCGTGCAGCACATCGGCCGTTTGTTGGGACAAGAGGCTGCTGAGCTCCAGTGACGACTGCGATGCCAAGTGCTGCAAGTGCCTGTTGGAAGGTGCTTGTTTACAATTTCAACGAGCAGAGCGAGTCCACTGAGCTCATCGGCGGCTTTCGTCCAGTTGTGAAGGTCTCAGGTGGAGTGACAGTGCAGAGGTGGTATCTACTGGAATGCTTTCGTCCTGCCCAGGACAATGTGATGCAGCTTATGTCTGAGCTTGTCATGGCACTCAGATTGTTGATGCAGGGGTTGTCTCTCCGGACCCAGTGCCGAAGACTTTGCATGGAACGAGGTCGAGCTGTTCTGCTCCATCTTCGAGAAGTCTTTCTCGCGGCGCAAGAACGTCTGCAGCTTTGAGATTCCAAAAGTGATGTCCCAAAGTGCCGCGGCTGCAGAGTGATTTGCCTGAGGCGAGGCTTTTGGAAAAAGCTCGAGGGGACTTTCTGGGCCGACGATGGGCCGTAGCCTCCGTTGTATCGACACGAATGCTCTCCACCGGCCTGCCTGCTCTGGAGGCTTCGGTGCTTCACAGCATTGGCAGCGTGATGTCCAAGGCCAACTGTAGTCTTCAAATGGTTGATGCCCTCACAGTCAGATGCCAGGCCAAGCAGAGTCTGAGCGATCCTGCACGCGCCAGAGATTTCTGAACCACGGGCAGCGGTTAGGTCGGTGATGGTGATCGTGACGTTTCAACAGAGCAGGGGGGTTAGAACACCGAGGTGACTCAAGCCTCGAAAGGTGTGAAGGGCACACACCTTGCCGCAGAGCGCGGATCCCAGAAATGACAAGAAGCTGTGAGCTCCTCCTCGCAGCGAGGTGGGAAATGGTCCAGGACCTCCATAAAAAGGCATCAGCAGCGGCGGGCCCGGCTCTGCGGCCCTGCCATGCCCTGCCCGCCCGGCCCGTGCCATTCGGCCGCATCTGAGGTGGTCGCAGCAGGCTCCGCGCCGCGCTTCGAGTTCAAGGAGGGCTTGCTCGTCCAGGCGGATCGAGGAATCTAAGATTGCGCCAAGTTCTTAGGACCATGTGTCATGCTCGGACCTGCGCTGGCGCTGCATCCCTCTGGCTCACGAAGTCGTTCTCTGTAACATTACCACAGTGTGTTCCCAAGAACACTTCTTACAGATCAAGAACAGGCGAACATGTACTGTCTTCTCCTGAAGCCCCGATTCTTCTTCTGATGCTCGCACGGCGATCTACTGCATGCTTTGTCGTGATCCTGGTCAGCTGGCATTCTTTCCTTGTCTTCGTCACGGGAAGTTTGTCAAGAGAGGCAGTTAACCGAGTGGTACGGTTCGCGCGCGGATTTGGCAATGAAGGGCAGCCAACTGCCAAGACAGAAGAGCAGCAGGTGAAGACAAAGAAGGGGCTGAGGACAACGAAGGCTGCCATTCAGTTCTTTGAGAAAGCCAAAGGGTATCGAGAAGGCGGTGACAATGTGAAAGCCGTCCAGATGTATCGAAAGGCCCGTGTTGCCATCGGCAAAGCGGCAGGGAAGGGATCTAAAGACTATGCCCGGGTATGCAGCGACCTCGCAACTGCATACCTTGACCTGGAGCAGCAGGACCAGCAGGATCGTGCGGCAGACCTCTATGAAGAGTCACGAAGAGCGTTTGAAAGTTCTGTCGGCACAACTCATGCCGAGTATGCAGGCTGCCTACGAAATTTGGCAAGGCTGAGACGAGCTTTGGGCAATATAGCTGAGGCAGAAACTTTGTTGAAGGAAGCTTCACACATCTATGCGGGCGATTTAGGCAGCTTTCATGAGGAGTATGCGATGACCCTGAGAAGCCTCGCCACCCTTTACCAAGAACAAGGCCAGATGGAGCTTCTTCAGCCCATCTTACTCGAAGAGCAGCGCGTGAGGACTTTAGCTGCCAGCCTTGGCCGACGCTAGCGTCCCACTTCGGCCCTGCAGAAACTAAGGGGAGGGGGAGTTAGGGCTAGGGGGCCTTCGTGCTGCAATGCGAGTCTGCAAGTGAAGCGCTGCACCGGCGAGGCCTTGCGTAGCGGTGCCTGGGTGGTGCTGAGCCGAGACTGAGACGGCTCGGGCAACAGGGCCCGCTCCCGGCTTCTGAGGTGCTGGACGAGATCAACCTTGCACCCTCAGACCTCCTGCAACGAGTGCAAGGTCTTATAGAGCGGTCGTCCGGTACCCATCCGAACGCAAGTAATGCGTTCCAGCTGCAGCTCTGGCAGCTCTAGCGAGGTCCGGATCTCACCTTGCCTTGCCAGAGTCCGGTGACGAGCACGTGGTGCCAGAACCCAAGAAGCTGGACGAGTGCTGCAGGATGCCGAACGTGGCCAGACCCTGCACATGGCGGCTAGACAGTCTTCACAGCAGTTGTGTTACGCAAGGTCTCACCAAGCATTGTGTCGTGGGAAGCCGTGACGGAAAGAGTCGTTCTTGCACAAGCCCAGGCCACATCCTGAGTTCAGACTCTTCGCGTGCATGAACCCGTGCGGTGCCCGGAAATGCTGTGGTCATTAGGGTGTTGTGTGTGTGCTCAGACGGGTAGTGTACCGCATTCCCACGACGTGATGTCAGGCCGCGCTTGTCGGCCCGACCCGTTTCTCTTGCACTCGTCATCGCAAGAAGCGGGGAATCCCTGCCAGGCCTCCTCCAGCAGAGGCAGAGGGCGAGGTCCGGTGCCCAAAGGGAGATGACAGCGAAGTGCTGTGGGGGTGGCCGGCTGGCCCGCACAGGAAGATGCGCCCATGTCGAGAGCTGGACAAGCTGCCGGGAAGAAGGCGCGAAAGGGAGCGGTGGATCTCTGATGATTGCTGCTCTTGCAGCACTGTCAGTCTTTACTTTCCCGGCTTTCTGTTTCTCTGGAAATGTGCGGTGCTCCAGGAGCTCCCTCCAGGTATTCGTGCACGCTTCACGGAGATCTTCGTAGACGAGGCAGTGCTGAGCGGCCGCTGTTGGAGTTCTGTGGCTCAGATTGAATGCTGAAGGAATCCATTTCCCGATGCCATTTTGCCACAGCAGCGTCAGGATTCTTTTTGTCCCCAGAGACTTGTAATCGGCACACTGAGGATGGCTCTAAAGGTCCGGTTGTTGAATCTTGAGTATATATTGCATGTAATTCTGTGATGTTGTAGTCGTAGCGAGTCACAGCTTCATGGCCTAGATCGCCGGTCTCGCAGCCCCATGTGCTCAACCGAGCTTCTGCCTTTCCGTCTTTTCCAGTAGCTGCAAGTGTTCCCAGATGTTCCGAGGGGCAGGCGGTTCCCTTTTGGAGGGATCCTTCCTACAATTAGAGGTTCCTCAGCGCGTGGACGTCGAGAAGTGTTTCGGGCTTAAGCATGACCATTGCTAGCGACTCCTGCTTCGACATCTCACTGGACTTTCCAACGATGAACGGCTCTGGTCCGTCCCGGGGTTGGGGGGCCCCGCAGTGCAAGAGTTGGTTACAGTGACTTTGCAGAAGACGGCTAGTGGCAAAGGCCAGCCGCAGCGCAGGGCATCTTGCACTCGCTTCAACAATACCAGGTTGCCAAGAAGCAGAACTCACAGAATGCGGCGATCCAACAAAACGGAAATAGCATCAAGTTTCTAGCAAAACCTATTCAATCCTGTGGTTCTCTTAAAGAACCTATTCAACCTTGTATTTTTCACAGAGAACCTATTCAATCCTGTATTTCTCTTAGGTTTTTCACAGAAAACCTATTCATTTTACATTGTTCTAGGAAAATCTTTCAATCCTGTATTTCTCCTTTAAATAAAACTTATTCACGTTGTATTATCCCTGCGAAAGCTGATTCACTTCTGTATTCTCCCAAAACCTTGTTCCGAGGTCGGTCTCTCCGCCGAAGCCACGGCCGCTGCAAGCACACGATCTGAAATCCAAGGCCCGTGCCGAGCGGTCCGCTTGTCGCATGTCGGTGGGCTGCAAGAGACCGCCAATCCTGCGAGGTCTTCGTCGTTCCCACATGGTGCGATATTTGCAAAGGCGTACTGGTATGCTCCTCACACCTATGCACTTTCGCACGGATGGCAAAATCTCGTGCCGAGGTCGGCCATGGCTTTGTCTGCGCAGGTCCTTGCCAGATGAGGCTTGGTAAACCAGGCTGGGATCGTGTTCTCGGCAAGTTGGCCTTCACAAGGTGTCATCGGGGACTCGGGGCCAACGGCGCCGAGAATTGCAAAGCTGAGCTTCTCATGAAGAAATGCGAGGAGCACTTGAGACTGGTGAGATTGCAGAGCTTCATGCTATCGTTGTTTCGCAGGAGGTCGCCCATGTCCAGGGACAGCCTCGCTCTCAGACTCCGAGCTGACTTTGAGTGGCGACTGTCAGGACGAAGTGCTGCAAGACTGATGGATGAACTGATTAACCAGTCTGGCCAGTTTCTATATTGCAGCCAGAGTGGCAAGATATTTGTGGGGGCTGTTTCGGTAATGAATTCCGGGACTAACGCATGCAGAAGGGTGCAGCCATGCAAGGTACCAGTTTGGCGACGTTACGAAGCAGATCTTCAGGAATGAGAAACAGAGGACCGGCATGGCTTTGGCTGTTGCTGGAGCCGCTCAGTAGTCACTTGAATGTCACTGCTGTACCAGGATCAAGGACCTGGTGGTGACAGAGTTTGTGCCGCTCAGCTGCAACTGTATGCAGCACCTCTCACCTAGCTGTGGCGCTTGCACCAGGAAGGAACAAGCGAGTTTCGGAAAGTTCGACAAGCTGAAAGCCTACTCAGAAGCTCTCCAGGCAAGCGTTGCATAAGCGTCCGGCTGAAACTAAAAGTGCATGCCCGGACAGGAGTGGTGGGACGAAGATCGGGTGGTTCGATACATGCGCCGTGCTCAAACACACATTATTTCTTCGTGAGATGTAAATTTCAATGCCAGTTGGAGGTTGGGAAACGGAGCAGAAGGACACTGTCAAATTGTTGCTGTCGAGTCCGAGTGACTCTGAGGTTGCTAGCCATTTTCTCGATCGAGCTGGCGCTCCTCGTGATCACTTACGGCCACTGGGCTGCAACTACGGGATTGCAATGAGTTTGCGAGTTTCACAGAAGCCTTTTGCTTGAAAGGCTCAGTCTTTCTCTGTGCTTGGCCCGTCCACGGCGCATCACGGGCGAGCCGATTGGCCTGGCTGCAGGACTGCTGCTCGAAGGGTGGCGCATGGTAAAGCCCCAGACTCCAGACCCTGAGGCCACCAGACGAGAGTGCTGTCCTGACCAGGCGATGTCCAACTGCACATCGGCTGCCGTGTTCGAAGGATTGCTGATACTTCTGATCCATGTGCTCGCCACACAGGCTGGGGCTTGCGGCTTGGGGTCGCGCGTAACTCGTGTCTGCCCTGCCAGCCTGTCCCCTGTCCTCGTTAGCTCTCAGCTCTCCGGCTTGGCGCTTGTCCCTGCAGCTCCTGGTCTACTCCGATCTTGTACGCAGCTTTGTGCGTTCCTTGCTGCACTTGGGATTGGGGTCCGGGGTACCTAGCTGACCAGCAGCGCCTGTCAGGCTGTCAAGGCTAGCATAGCAAAGACTGAGTCACATCTGAGGTGAAATACTGCAAATAAATCTCAGCGAACTACAGATAGACGTGCCGGAAGCCTAGAATCCATGTCCGGCAGCAAACATTTCGCGGAGCTTGCAGCCACCGAGGGGGAAAGCTGCTGATGCTGTCACGAACATCACAGTCCATGGGCTTAAGACGACGGCTTGCGTCGCATGCCTTGGGATGGCGTTGTGGATGAGGTGGAATGGTAATTTGAATCGCTGTTGACTTCAGACTGCAGCAAGCTTCTCCAAACTCCGAGTGAGCATTGGGGGAGATGCTTGGGGGGCCAAGGCCATTCTTTAAGTGCGAACGGTAATGAGGGCGAAATCACTGTCTCTGCCCAAGACGAAAAGCAGGGTTTTGTTCTTCTCTAGGGGGCATTCGGGATAGCGCACAGAGGCCAGTATTGGGAACAAGTTGTAAAACGTTGCTGTGCGGCAGGTCCGTCCAGCTGGTGTACGACAACAGCCATCCATGAGTTCCGCCAACTGACGTCGCCGGCTGGCAGCTTTGTCAAACTGGTTGCGTTGGCCAAGCTCTGGTCCGCATGCGCTTGACAGGATCCGTCGCACGTCTGAGTTTTCCGTTGTCAGGTTTCACGGCACAAAGGCACCATGTCTCCAAAGATTCGAGACAAGCAGATCGGCTCGAAAAGGATAGCCGTGACTCCCAGCAGAAGCAGCTTAACTCTCGGTGTGAAACACGGGCTGTTCTTGGAGGTGCACACCCCAGAGGACTTGGGCCTCATAGCATGAAACTCGGAAGGCAGTTTACGACGTACCACGAAGCTATGCGGCACCTTGCAGTGACAAGGTTCGTAGCTACCTGGAGGGTGACTTCCCAAATCCGCCGGTGGATGCCGTCGTAGGCAAGGAGTGGACTCAAAGCCGAGTCAGAGTGCTCTTGAGAGCTCATTTTCCGGCATCCTCAAGCAGGCTTTTTTCGCAAAGCTGGGTCACTGGCACGTTCGGTGACCAAGGTTGTTCAGAGCGTGCTTCTCATGTTGGTGTGAAGCGGCAAAGGAGGCCAAAAAATCCGCAATTTCAGGCCAGAGTGCGCTTCTTGATGGAGCTGGAAGAGTGTTAGTCCCAGCTTTCCACGCAAGGCTGCCGGCATCCTGCGTCTTTCTTTTGTTCTGGGGCTCTGCTGCTACCTTTGTACAAAGTTGAGGTCTGCAGCTTCTCCCTGCGGAACCTGACCCGCTCCTTGCGCTTCGCGCTGCGGCTCGCCAAGCGACCGCCGCAACCACAGAGTACAACATGAGTATTGCGCGAGCCTGCAACGGGGCAGCAGGAAGATTTAGCGTTGCTCGGCATGCCAAGGCAGCATGCGACGCCTCCCATCAAGGCTGGATCTGGAGTCTTTCCATAGGAGCGGATGTGCTGGTTTCTCTCACCTGCACTCTCGTCTGATCAATTCTGCTCGCTCAGCTCGTCTTGCGAAGCTTTCTCATCAGGCCTTGGCGCAAGGTCTGGCCGTTGGGTTTGTCGGACAGCCCAGATTCGGACTGCTTCCCCTGTTCGCATCCAGCCTTTGTCGTTGTGGACGGCCACAGCGAGGCCACGACTCTAGACCTGCCATCTTCAAGGGTGGTAGAAGACCACATCCAACAGGCCCGCGGCATGCAAAAGCTTGATGACGTTTGAAGCAGCTCTGGCAATTCGCCGGAGGCGGTTGGAGTGTCTCCCAGCGTTCAGACAGCTGCATTGAAGGCACAGTTGGCGACGTGCAGCGATACGTAGGGCTCCTGCGTGTCAGCTTCAGGCCGGATCATCCTCTTCAAGTGCTTCGGTGCAGATAGATCCAGACAAGGGCTGGATCAACGTGGAAGGCTACTGGATCAAGGCTGCAGGGCTGCATGGACGGAATCTGCCGCCGCTCTGCCACCACTCTCTGTTTCTCTCTTGTTCTTGCTGCCTCTGGCTCAGGCCGGACCGCAGAAGATTGAGGTGGAAGCGGCGCACAGGGATTTCGTGATTACAAGCTCAGTCCGCCGCAATCTTCACAATATTGCGCGGATGCTTAGTGGTGGCAGATTCCCGATACTTCTCGAGGGCCCAACATCCGCAGGCAAGACCTCTCTGGTCAAGTTCCTGGCACATCTAACAGGCCACGAGTTTGTGCGTATCAACAACCACGAGCACACGGACCTTCAGGAGTACATTGGCCAGTACGTGTGTGACCCAGAGACTGGCCAGCTTGTGTTCCAGGAGGGTGTTTTGGTCAGAGCTGCGAGGGCGGGCCATTGGGTGGTCCTCGATGAACTGAACTTGGCACCGAGCGAGGTTCTGGAGGCCCTCAACCGCCTCCTGGACGATAACCGCGAGTTATACATCCCTGACACCGGCAACACCGTCAAACCCCATGAGGAGTTCATGGTCTTCGCAACACAAAATCCGGCCGGGGCGAATTACGGTGGCCGGAAGCTCTTGTCCCGTGCTTTCCGCAACCGCTTCACTGAAGTCTTCGTAAGTGAGCTTCCGATGGAAGAGCTAGCCGTCGTCCTGCACAAGCGCTGCCAGGTGCCCCCATCATATGTGAAGGTGATGCTGGCAGTCTACCAGGATCTTCAGTCGCATCGTAACCAGTCGGCAGTTTTCTTAGGAAAGCAAAGCTTCATGACCGTGCGCGATTTGCTACGATGGGGCCATAGAAAGCCCAACTCGTACCTGGAGTTAGCGACAGAGGGTTTCACACTGCTGGCAGAAAGGCTGCGGAAGGAGGACGAGCGAGAGGTCGTTCGCAAGTCATTGGTGAAGCACTGCACGGGCGTCAAGGACTTGCAGCTCGACTACAGCAAGGATGAAGTGGTCTGTGCAGCTCGGGAACGAGTGGCCCAGAAGCTGAAAGCTGGACAGACAGGCAAAGCACCCGGAGGAGTCGGCCAGGTTGTGTGGACGCCGGCGTTCTGCCGAATGGTTGCTCTGATTGGCCGATGCATACGCTCCGGAGAGCCCGCCCTCCTTGTTGGGGAAACGGGAGGTGGCAAGACGATGGCATGTCAGCTGCTGTCTTGGGCCTTGGTTGAGGAGGATCTTCCGGAGCGTCAGCTGCGAACTTTGAATTGTCACCAGCAGACAGAGACGTCCGACTTCATCGGTTCCCTTCGACCAGTGCGTGGTCGAGACACCACTTTCAAGTCGATTTGCACAGCAGCTGCTAAGCTGCAGGAGCTGCTGCAGGAGCTGGCGAAGGCGCAGCCTGACACCGAGTCTCCAGCATTTACGAAGCTCCTTTCAGAGGCGCAACTTGCGGCGGCAGGAAAAGGCAACCCGAAGAACTTGGGTCAAGCGCTGCGTGCTGCCATTGCAAGCAACGTCTTGGGCGCCGGCGACCAAACCGAGGCAAAGAGAAGACGGCTGGATGCTGGGATTGTCAAGGCAAACGACGTACCGCTGCCGTCTTTGGCGCTGCATCTCGTGTCTCTCTGTGGGGACTACGACCGTATCTTTGAGTGGGCAGATGGAGCTTTGGTGGAAGCCATGCGATCGGGGGGTGCATTTCTCGTCGACGAGATCTCATTGGCAGAAGACTCAGTTTTGGAGCGCTTGAACTCCGTCCTGGAGCCGGAGCATTCGCTTCTGCTCGCAGAGAAGCCTTTGACTGGTGCCGACTTGGAGGTGGTTCAGGCGCTGCCAACTTTCAGGCTCTTTGCCACCATGAACCCGGGTGGTGACTTTGGAAAGAGGGAGTTGTCACCAGCCCTTCGCAACAGATTTACCGAAATCTGGGTTGAGGCCATTGATTTCTCTACAAAGGAGGCGGAAGACTTGGTGGCGAGCCAGCTGTCCTGGCCACGACTTGCTCGACCCATGCTGGATTGTGTCAGCTGGTTCAACCATCGCGTTCTGCATCCTCTGAGTATTCGCGAGGTCCTCGCCTGGGCTGCCTTTGTCAGAAGCACGGCTCCCGAGAAGGCTGATAAATCCTCGGAAGCCAGCGTTGAGCGCGCTGTCGAGATGTACCTGCATGGTGGCTGCATGACTCTTGTCGACAGCTTGGGATTGGGAAATCAGCTTGTCGACAGCGAATGCGTAGCCCTGTACCAGAAACAGACTGAAGATTCTCAAGACGAGAATTGCGGCGGATTGTCAGTGGCACAGAGGGCTATACTGTGGAACCTCCTACGCCAACTTGACAGGCCCGAATTCTTCCAGGAAGCTTGGCTTGATGGCGCGAGCATCCGATTTCGAAGTACTGCTCATGTCACATGTAAAGCCATGTAAAGCCATCGATCCCTCAGGACCTCACGAGCAAGGGCCGTGAAAAGGTTCAAGCTGTGTTCGGCCAGGGCGGCTTTGCTTGGGTGCAGGGCCCAGCTGCTGGTGCTCTCCCAGGTTTTCAGCACCCTTTCGGACAATGTGCATACATCATGGCATTCGATGGCACAAGACTCAAGAGCATTCAGTGGGGATGATTTGAGGTGGGACCGAAGAGAGCTTTCGTTCCGTTCTCCACCACTCCTCGAGTCTGTATGTCGCTGAGGTGCGCAACCGCAAGTCTCCACCAAAGGCCCGGAGGGTGTATCGCAGTGGACTCCCCACCATGTCGGGCTAGTCGAGGCTTTGCTGTGTCGGGCGCGTGTGCCTCATCGAAGCTACATCATAGTATATCGCTGTCCAACTTCCCTTTCATAGGTTTCAGTGATTTCTTGGAGCATATTTTGCATGAACTGGCCAGGGCAACGTCCTGAACTTTGGCGGTTTCGACATTTCTGCTCCTTGCAAGCAACCGGACAAGCTTGGCCAGAAACCGGGCACTGAAATAGCGGAAGAAGCCTGGGCCTAGGTTGCCTCTCAAGCTGCAGGAGACACAGCTACCCAAGGCGCAAACAGGGATCAATTTGAGCCGGCCGTGGTGCAGGGGGAAGTGCTTTCCGACAAGGTTGACGCAGGGTTTTTGTCGAGAATGTGCCACCTTTACCCTTGAGTCCGCAACTTCTCAAGCATGATGGCAGTTGACTGGAATCACCGCCCCTCGGAAACTCAGTACTGGATCTTGCGTCTACGCTGTTTCCACCTTTTCGAATCAACAAAAACGCAGCCTCAATCGATCATCCGTTTCAGATCCTCGAATGGGCTCTCGGGGTTTGGAAGTCGTGATCAGACCTTCGCCCGAATTGCGAAGAGTCCTGAGTACCGCATGAATGGAAGGTGCCGCATTGGTTTAGGTGGGCATGATAATCTTTGCGTGTCCCCGGTCTTAGCTTCCATGCTTTGGCAACATGTTGGCATCAAGACTCTGTGAAAACAGAGTGAAGACTGGGAGGCAGACTGTAGGGCTCTGGGGTGCATGGTAGCTCTGAGCACATAGACTTAGCACTTAGCCCCTTGACTCGAAGGTTGATGACATGTCATATCGAGTGAGTTATCGATAGTGACTTTCCGATAGTGAGCGATGCACGCTTTGGAGATGCCTCCGACTTTGACTTCAATGCACCTTCCTCGGCGTGCAACGTGGGTGTGGTGCTCGGTTCTGATCCGATCCCAGCATGCACGGTCCGTCAAAGAAGATGGCTGTTCAGAGTACCCATCCTTTTGCGACCATGCACGGCTCATGACATCTGTTCCATGTTCAGCCTTTGGGCTCGAAAGGTTGTCAAGAAATCGACTATGAGCAAGTCTTGCTTGCAATACGCACCATTTCGAAAGTCAAAACGGGTGGCAAAGCCACTTACCTCCGCACTGCCCGTACAAGCCTTCAGAAGAGTGCCTTGTCCAAGCTCCAAGCACCACTGCTCGATCCTGTCTGGCACTGTCCTTTGAAGCATGCGCTCCCGACTCCTGGTGCGCTTCTTGGCCGCTCTGCTGCTGACCTGGCCCGGGCTCACCTTCTTCGGGCGCCGCGGCCAGAGCTCGTCCGATGCCGTGGATGCTCTGGTGAAGGATCTCCAGGCCCTGGGCAGCGCCGGGCAGGACAGTGTCAGTGTTGTGCCAAGTTGGGCGCAATCTGGGCTGTCCCATGCTGCCGTGAAGTCGCAGATGGGTTTTGCTCCTTCTGCCTTCCGAGTCTGAAAGCCTCACACGTCAAGTCACACGTCAAGGGCCAATGCAAGCTAGAGGACCATTGCAGAAAGGCTCCGTCGGAGTGTGTGTGTGTACGAGCGACAAGGATACTCTGGAGCCGGAGCCGAATTCCATTCTAAGCTCGGGATGCTGGATCCAAGTGAAAGAGTGGAACCTCCCAAGTAAACCGTGGCTTCCAAATCCGGCCCGATATAGGAAGCACTCGTCTCAAATGCGTCTAAAGTACTTGTTGGCTCGGCTTTCCGCAGCTTGTGAGGATGCAGCCAACATGGCTTCAGCCTTGCTCGGGGGCCTTCAAGATTCCAAGCTGTTGGCAGACAGCAGCTACGACGCGCGTCGGCGAGTTGCAAAGTTCAAGATCGCAGGAGGCGGCGCGACAGGGGAGTTCTTCCCAGACCTCCGGATCTGGCTCCAGGTTCAGCTGGACAAGAATTTGAGAATCAGCTGGGAGAAGGCTAGATCCGGAGCTGTTGTCCTCCACTTCTCTGGCCTCTCTTTTGCTCCCCTTCCGGGAGCACAGGAGCTTTATTTGAAGGCCGGCTTGGACTCTTTTACGTGCCCTTCCATCAAGTCCGTGAACCAGGAGGAGTATTACCAGTGCCACCTCAAAAAGGCACTTCCAGCAGCAAGCGCTTCTGCATGCAAGCAACAACACTCTTTTTCTGCCTTGGAGGCACTCGTGATGGAAGAATTCTGGAAAGCGAACCGGGCTGCTTGCCTGTGTGAGAACGTAAACAGCGAACGACAATCGATGCACTACTGTGGCCTCTGTTTCTCCCTCGTCCCAACAGTGCTACTCGTAGCGCCGTCATGAGCTACTGAAAGTCCGCTCAAGTTTGCGCACTTCCAGTGTTGCTGGGGCTGTATTGCAGTGTGTTGCATGTGCCGAGACTCAAATCCCGAAGAACCTGCAGCACCAGTTTGCTTTCATCGGAGACAACACGGTGATTTCCCACCTCTCGGAACAACTTGGGCATGGGCAGCTTGGAGTGAAGTGAATTTGTGGTACTTCGAGGATGTTGAGTGTGTTGTGTCCCCCAACGGCAGGTTTGGCTGGTCCATGCTCCTGGTCTTGTCTGCACCCCCGTCGACGGTAGAAACCCTCGAATTCTCGGAGAACGGCGTGCGAGGCCTGGTATCAAGCCGGGTCGCAAGCAGCGCAGTGGGTTTGATCTGCCAATGAGCAGGAACCTCTATTCACGACAAGAACCAGGATCCTTGAATGCATGCCGTCACCGAAACCGCATGTGCTTTCATTCGGACTCAGCCTGAATATCTGCTGTTTTTCCTTGAGGCTGGCGCCAAGCTCTCAGCGAAGCATGGCTTCAAAGACCTGAGCCGCTTGCCGGAAACGTCTCGCAACGAGGAAAGCGAATTTAGTCGTTTCTGCTTGGCTTCCGAGGCCTCAACATCGCTAGGCCTCTGGTCGGAGACTCGCGCTTTGGTGGGTTCGTTCGCTCCGTGGGTGAGCGGCAGCTAGGCACAAAACTTGGCTTCGGATACTCCGGCCTTGGGCCGTGTGTGCAAGACAGCTTGTTGTCCGCAAGGATAATGCCAGTGGCTTGCAACTTCGGTCTCTGGGCTGCAAACCCACTGCTGGTTGGCCTGATGCCTCGATATGTCTCTCGAGCTGATTTTTTGCGGCCCAAGGCATCCTTTGTTCGGTCGGAGAGCCCCGATGGCGCTCGAAAGGAATTCGAGGAAGCTTTGATTGCGCTTGTGACTGACCTATTCGCCTCTTCAGCCCTCCTTGTCCTCAGGAGCCGACCCGAAAGTGGTCGCGAGCATGTTCCGCCGTCGCGGCACCAAGGGCCCGAACGGCGAGGAGAGGCATCAACAACGAAAAGCTGAGAGTTCCTTTCACTTTGCCTAGACTCCATATCTGATATCTGTAAGCATTCTGTCGACTCTTGTTTTCGAAGGAGGGCTGCCTGACGTGGAAGTCGAAGAAGCGTCGGCGATGAGGAGATGCATATGGGCCGTGGGCTGCATGCTCAGCCCGAGGCAGGACATGCTCGAATGAACAGTCTCAGGATGTATGGCTGCCGCGCCCATCTGCGCCCCGACTTTCTTGTTCTTAGTTCTCAGTCTCATGCTTCGCATGATACAGTCCGCCAGACATTTTGAGCTGGCAATACTTGATCATGCTGCTCCCTAGGGGCAGCTGTTATTATAGACTTATAGACAGCGCCAGTGGCTTCCAGCGTCTTGCACCCCTGCGGTAGATGACGCAGGCCCTCAGGGCCTCCCTTGTCCCGTCACGGCGAACAGACAAGAGCTGAATGCTGGAGAAACATCGTGCCGGTAGATGCCGCAAGCCGATGCAGAATCTGCTTCAAGATGCTCTGGGCAAACCTGTCCAGCATTCGAAGTTGTGATCTTGGTGCTGAGGGCGGCTCGTCCGTGCGCTGCAGCAGCCCAAGGCAATTCTACTGGAAGGCTCCGCCGCCTTTACTGCTCTCTCTGCCCAGTGCTCCATCCAACCTCGATCTCATCCAAGCCCCCTCGACCGGAGGCCCGCCAGGGCTTGGAAAAACGGCTACTGTCCAAGCTCTTGCAAAAGCCACCAAGCGGCGTCTGTGCGGGCCTCGAGCGGCCGAAGGTAGCCCGTTTTCTTTGTTTGTGTCTTGGGCGATGCGAAGGTTGCGGATCAATTTGTCTGAGCAGACGGACCTGTCCGCGAACTTAGCTCTTTCTCGCTTTTGTGCGTGAATGGCGGCACAGCGAGACAGCAGCGTCCCAGTTTGGATCTGCTGGGTTCCGACTTGCCGATGCCGGGCAGCGAGGCCAGGATCTCAGATGTGGACCCAAATGACCCGCGTGAGAGATTCGGTGGGGGCCGTGGCCGTGGCGATGGAAGTCGCTGGGCAGGTGGCAGCTTTCCGCTGGAGCGATGGAGCCCTCCTTCGAGCGCTAAAGCGTGGAGCTGCGCCCCCAGGGGGGGTCCTTTTGTCGATGCCCCGAGGTCCTGACGACCAACTCGAAGATGTTGTAAATCCCCGGAACCTCCCGCCAGTTCTTGTTAACCAGATGCTTTCCTTCACTTTGATGCAAGCCTCTCTAGAGCCAGTGCCACAACATTGATTCTGCCATGCTCAGACGTGGCCATCTTAACGACCTGATGCATGGCCGGCACCTGTGCCTCAGGATTGGGTCCTGCTTGATGAGATCAACCTGGCACCACAGGAGAGCCAGAGCTAAAACTGCTCCAAGACATGCCAGCTTTGCGCTATGCAGTGTAGTCTCTGTGACATCATCTGCGGCATTGACTGCCACTTCTGGGAAGATTTTCCTGAAGGCCACATTGGAGGGCCTCAATGCCTTGCTGGACCATCGCAGAGAGGCCCCGCGTTCGTGCTGAGTGCTGGCAAAGACGGATGCTCTTGCTGTGTTGGTCTCGGTGGCCTCCCAAGCGCTGTGAGGTCTTCTTGCCCGCCATTGGCCAGACGGTGTCTGCTCATGCAGGCTTCAGGCCGAGTGAGACGTACAAGCCAATGTGCAAGGCTCGGGCATATTCGCAAAGATGTGTGCAGGCTTTTCGCCGCTCAGAATCCGGTAGCGACCGGAGGCTTGCGAGCAAAAACACTTCGCATGCAATGCATGTCGGCCGTGGTGTCAGGTGGACGGAAAGGGCTGCCAAGATCATTCCTGAACCGCTTTACTCGTGTCGTGCTTTCTCAGCTGCTGAAGCCTCAGCAGCGCATGGTGGTCTAGGCTTCTTTCACAGGTGATTTGTTTGGCCTGAATTCATCTTGGCGCCGCAGGTCACCAGAAGATCTGCGTCACATTTGCAAGCGCCCCGGAGAGCTCTGCCAGAGCCAGAGACTTTGGCAGTCCACCCGGAACCTGGACACAGGCGAGCATGCCCATGGCAGCGCTCTGGGAAAGGAAGTGGTGGACCAGACGGTGCCCGAAAGAAGCATTCCGGGCATCGACCCAAAGCATAGCTGTTTTGCACAGGTCCGACTGGTCGAGGAGCTTCAGTTGGCATCGCAGGGTGCAAGTGAAGAAGGCCAGGGTCTCTAGAGCTGAAAAGCAAAGCCAAAGCAGTGCCGACTTGCCGAGGCGGGAGGCCCTTCGAAGCACAGCTGGACTTTGCTGCTCGGCGCGCAATCGCAGCAAACACTCTCTGAACGGCGGCTGCTTTCAACATGTTGGATCTTTTCGGGACATGACGGAATCCGAGCTGCTCCTGCAAGCAAGCAGCAAAGCACCATGCAAGGATTGGAATCTGCGCGATGCCTTGCGACTTTGCGAGCTTTTGCGTGTCTGGACCCGAGACGCGAAGGTTGCAAAAGTCCGTCCAAAAGGTACAGCCTGTATACCCCATCAATTCCATCACTGCTCTGAATGTCTGGCTGCCAGACTCTCTTCACGTTTAGAACATGTGTTGGTCATATGTGCTAGTGTCAGAACTAGCGTTGCTCTTGTGATCGTCAACAGTCTTGCACCAGTGTGTGAGCATTTCAGTAGTAGCTCGTCGTCGTCATCCTGGTTGTGGTTACGGTAGTGGTAGTGCTGAGAGAAGCAACCAGAGTCGTAGCTGGAAGGCATAGCGGCAGAATGTCAAAGTGATTGTGATGTTGGCAGTGCTTTTGAGAGTAAGGATGCAGTCGTGTTGCCACGGTTGTCCACCCATATCTACATTTCATCACCAGCTCCTCGAAGACCTTGTAAGCTTCCAGCATCCCAGGCGAAGGCACCTTTGGCCCATCACTGCCAGGCCTCTGCGGAGCTTCTCTTTGCAAGGCCCTCAGACCTCACTGTTCTGCGATGGTGAAGATGCTCGGGAAGGTGAGATTTTCGACTGTTTTGGAATGTCTTGGATTCTTGGTTCAATTTTTCAGAAGATGGCACGAGAAGTGCAAAAGGCTGGACAGGTTCAGCCAGCAATTGTCCGAATCTGTTGGCCCTCGTCTTGATCAGGTGTCCCGTCTTCGCTGTGACATGGATCGTGATGTGGCACGGCGCGTGATCTCCAGGAAGCACTGCAGTAAATTGCTGTGCTGCTGTGCTGCTGTGCTGCTGTGCTTGTGCTTGAAGCTCCTCTGCCACAGGATCTTTCCGCCTCGCCCGGCGAGCTTCGGAGCCGAAAGAGAGAAGGTCGGAGAAGCCACTCTTTTTTTGCGGACTCTGTGACGTCCTAAGCTCCGCATGCAGCATTTTCCTCCGGCGGCCTTGCTGCGCATCGGATGCGGCTTCGGACTGGAGGAGGTCCATGTGCTTTATTGGTGTTGCCCGTTTCAGTACGTGTCACATGCAGCGGCTGGTGTCCGAAGGTATCACCAGGCGACCCGACTTCCAATGTGGGCAACGGTCTCAGTCTCATGCTTTTCGTGCTGTGTCACTGGAAGTCTTGATTGCGTTGTGGCACCAAGGCAGCACGACTCCAGTTCTGTGTTCGCTTCCCAGGAATGTTCTCCGCGGCTTTAGCCTTGATAGGCCTGGGTGGTTGTCCCTGTCGCCGTCGGTCTTCGGTAGTCTGTCTTCATGGTTCATGAACTTGATCAAGGTCTTGGCAGTCACAGTCTGAAATCCCAACCAGGCGGTTTACAGGCAATGGCCCCAGGGAAAGCTTTGGGTCACTCTGCTTCATGTGACGGGGTGTGGTGTCCAACAACAGTTGCTGAGCTCGGCATCTGCAGCGGGAGCTGGGCTCAAAGGTCTCATGACCCGTTGCCTAAACTGGCGATAAAAGGGTCGGGGGCCAGGCAATGCGAGCCTTGGCATGCCGATTTCCGTACACGTCACACTGCTCAGCGGCCGGAGTGCATCAATCCTCTGCGAGCCTAGCAGCAGTGTGAATGAGTTGAGACTGCGAGCCCAACAGCAGCTGCAAACGGACATCAGCGCCCTGTTCTCAAGGACGGGGCAGCAGCTGATCGGAAGGCAATCGCTCAGTGAGGCGACGGTGCAGGACGGGGATGCAGTGACGGCGGCCTTAAGGCAAACAGTTGTGACGTCCTCGTGGGAGTCTTTGTTGAGCGGTGGAGATGCATGGCCCCTGGCATCTTCCTGGGCTACGGATGCCTTCGCGGCCATCAGACCCGATGGCTTGGTTGTCACTTGGGGCTATGGCTTCTCCGGTGGTGACAGCAGTCTGGTTGAAGCGCAGCTGGATGATGTCCAGAAGATCTGCGCCTGCAAAGGCTCCTTTGCGGCCATCCGCAGCGACGGCACAGTGGTCACCTGGGGCCACGAGGCGTCTGGTGGCGACAGCAGTCTTGTCCAAAGTCAGTTGAGAGGCGTGCAGGAGATCCGAGCTTCACGCAGTGCTTTCGCAGCCATCCGGGCAGACGGCACTGTGGTCGCCTGGGGCTACGGAGACCAGTGTGGTGATAGTACGGAAGTCCAGGAGCAGCTCAAGGGTGTCTGGGAGGTCCGCTCCTCGGCAGGCGCTTTCGCTGCCATCCTCGAGAGTGGCCGAGTGGTAACGTGGGGGGATTCCTGTTATGGTGGCGACAGCTCCAAAGTTCAAGGGCTGCTAAAAAATGTCACAGACATACGGGCGACTCTTGCCTCGTTTGCTGCGCTGCGAGCGGACCGAAGCGTCGTGACATGGGGCGATGTCCGCTACGGCGGGGCAAGCGGTGCAGTCCGCCAGCAGCTGCACAACGTTTCCCAGATTCGGGCTTCTGCTGGGGCTTTTGCTGCCATTCGGACAGACGGGACTGTTGTCTGTTGGGGCGATGCCCAGGATGGGGGTGACCATAGTGCTGTTCGCAAGCAGCTGCATGGAGTACAGGATATCCGGGCTTCCTCCGGTGCTTTCGCTGCCGTTCGAGAAGACGGAAGCGTAATCGCCTGGGGCGATGCACGCGGAGGCGGCGATTGCAGCTCCGTCCAGCATCAACTCAGGGGAGTTCGTGACGTCCAAGCCTCTTCGGATGCTTTCGCCGCCATATTGTCCGATAGCACAGTGGTGACGTGGGGCGACCCCCGAAGGGGTGGTGACAGCAGCGCGGTGCGCGATCAACTCAGGGACGTCTTGGAAGTTCGGGCCTCCGCTGACGCCTTCGCAGCACTCCGAGCCGACGGCACGGTGGTCACCTGGGGAGACGTCCGCTTTGGTGGCGACAGCAGGAGCGTGCAGGAGCATCTCAAAGGCATTAAAGATGTAAGAGCCTCTGGTGGTGCTTTTGCAGCGATCCAGATGGATGGCACCATTGTCACCTGGGGCGATACATCGTGCGGTGGTGATAGCCTAGCTGTCAAAGAACAGCTAAAGTATGCCCAGCTCATCTGAGCAGATGAAGGTGTTTGAAGTGTTTCCCGATTTTCGTTAGAGCTCTAGATGTGGACAGCTTGCGCAAGAGTCGACTCACTCAGCAGCGCCCAGAAGCCGAAAGGCTCTTCGAGGACGGACCCTTGAGAGTCGGAAGAACGGTCTGCTCTCGAACTTGGAGGTCGGCTCAGCACTGCTTCGGAAAAGCCTCCGAGCCGAGGACCTTCGAGGCCCCGACTCTGTCGCTGCGGTCTCACGATGGAAGCTTTTGTAGCAGATTGTAGCAGGCTTCAGCGCCTCCGAGCACCTTCGCCACGTTACGCATCTCACAGCTTTGGCAGGACAGCAGCTCAGGGCTGCGGGAACCAGTCGTGTGAGCTTAACCTGAGCATTTCTCGGAGGTCAGCGAGAAGTTCTCCATGCCATGGCACATGCAGTTTCGGACGAGCTGAAATTGCCCGTGCCTCTGTAATTAGCTCTGACGGAGCTCATGTGCTCTCTCCGTGCAGCATGTTTCAGTCCAGCATTCTAGCATGCCATACGCCAGATCCATGCTCGAAAGCCTCAAGCGGGGACAGCCGAGCCTTTTGGCCATGGGAGACGACTCCGACGAAGCCATAAGAAGTACGAAGCGCCACCGCCAGAATCATGCCAAGGAGCGCCGTGAAGCAAAGACAACCAAGTCTCATGTACCCTTTCTCAGGACATTTGGGGAAACATCGGTGCGCTGCTCGAGGGTACCTGAGCTGCAATCTACATTGTCCGAATTCACAAGTTCAAGCGGCAGAGGGCTCCTCGATGAGACCTCATCAGGACACAGAAAGCCTTCCTGTTGGGAAGCGGATGGCTCAACGAAGCATGACAGAGCCGCTGCACCAAGGCACATCGGTGGTCAAACTCTTCTGCAGAGAGCTGAAGCCGAGACTTGGACGAGCCGAGATTCGCCCGTCTCCGACAATTTCGCTGAGCACTGTCACATCTTTCATGTGCTGATCAAGCCCGAGGAACTATTCGATGCCTTGGACGACCAAGAGGCAACATGTGGAAAGTTTGGGTCAGCCTCCCGCACCAAGCCCCCATACTCCGAAGTGAATTCAGCCATGACACGATGCCTTGTGGGTTTCTAGCCGCACGTCCGCGCACGGAAGGGGGGGCCGGTGTCGTGATCTTCTTTGAACTTCTTGCCGCAAACCTGTATGTTTTTTTAGAATCCGGACATGTCGAGCCCCGAACAGTATGGCAAGCCACAGAAGCACAAGTTGCAAACGAGAAGACATGCATGTGCAACAGCACACATCGATCTGCAAGGCAGCAGTCGTCAACTTCCACTGCCTTCGTCTTGTGCCTTCAAGAGCGGCTGCTGCTGACCAATCGGCATTGCGTGGCCCACGCCAGCTGCATCGCCACTTGCATCACTTAGTGTCGCGCTGCGGCGCCGTACCATCTTGCGGTGCATTGTGGCATTGCAGTGATCGCAAGTCGCAAGCTCTCAGGAGGTGCGGAAGCGTGGGGACGACCAGAAGTACGAGGCGGAGGTTCTTGCCCGCGCGACGGACTGTGACCTGGCCTTGCTGACGGTACGCGAGGAGGCTTTCTGGGAAGGCGCCACTGCACAGACGCTCTGCAACGAAGTCCCAGCTCTTTTCTCTGAAGTGGTCTGTGTCGGGTATCCTACCGGCGGGGACAACTTGTCTGTGACCAAAGGTGTCGTAAGCCGGGTGGACTACGAGGACAACCCAGACCCCTGGCGAAACCGACTAGTCATCCAAATCGATGCGGCAGTGAACCCTGGAAACTCGGGAGGGCCAGCGCTAGTCGCAGGAGGCTCCTGCGTGGGTGTCGCGTATGAATCCCTGAAAGATGGCTCCACAGAAAACATTGGCTTCATAATACCGGTCAGTGTGGTGCAGAAGTTCTTGACAGCCTGGCGAAGGCTGAAGTCCACTGCGCCTGTTGGAAGTACAGTGTCCGAGGATGTCCCGCCGGTACGAGTCACGGCTTTTGGGCATGGACGTTTTTCTGCACAGAAACTTGAGAACGCCGGCATGAGACGCGCCCTTGGCTTGGCCGCGGGGCAAAGTGGCGTCATTGTCAAGTCCGTAGATCCGACGACGGTGAATGCCAAAGTTCTCCAGAAGGGCGACGTGCTTCTCTCGCTGATCGGAGTCCCAATCGGCAACGACGGTTGTGTTCCATTCGTTTGCGGGTCTTCTCGCCACGATCGTGTCCCCTTCCCGTATGTTGCCATCGAAAAGTTTGTCGGCGAACAGCTCGAGGCCGAGATCATGCGTGCAGGTAGCAAGCTGTCCATCACGCTGCAGCTCTGCCCGCAAGAGCCTCTGGTCTCCGTTGAGAAAGAAGCTCCTTGGCTGCTTGATTACTGCATAATCGGTGGCCTCGTGTTCGTGGTGCTATCTCAACAGTACTTGCGTGCCACCTTCGGCGACAAGTGGCGCAAAGAGAGATGCAATGGGCTTTCAGAGATCATGGATTCCAGGGAACGAGAGTTCCCGGATGAACAGGTGGTGGTCCTGTCGTATGTTCTCGCACACACAGTCAACCTGGGATTCCAGGATGTTCGGAATGCACGCCTCAAGGCTTTTGTGGTGGATGGGGTGCTTGTGCGGATCCGCAATATCGCACACTTATCAAATCTTGTAGAAGCTTCCAAAGAGGAGTTCTTGAGATTTGAGCTGTACGGTCGGGGTGCCGGCTTCCTTCCCGATATTATTGTCTTGGAACGATCTGCGGTTCAAGCTTGCGAGGACGAAGTCCTCCGTCGCAACAAGATTCCAGCGGCAAGGAAGATTTCCAACTCGAGTTGATCGACAAAACAAGTGCCAGAGCTGAAGAAGTGAACGTTTCACGTCGTCTCGGGTCCGAGGCCTCTCCTGCTGGTTGGCGGACCGGGCGCCGGGAAGCACAGCTTGGTGCGATGGCTGGCTGCCGGGGGCCTTTTGTACTTGAAGCTGCGCTTTTTTTGCGGGCGGGGACTTCAGCAAGGCCATGGCCTACATGCCGCTGCAGGAGGCGATGCCGATGTCTCAGTCCCGCTTGCAAAGAGAAGGCAACTCGCCGCCCAGGTTCCGCTGACGCCCGCAATGGACGCCAGCGAACTTCTGGGCTGCTTTGAGCAGGTGCGTAGCGGGCGTAGCGGTTCCTCTTGGGCGCCTTCTGCCGCGCGGCGGGCGGACGGCAGGTGGACGCACGCAGCCTCCTCCGCCAGCTTGCAAGATTTGTCACCGCAGCCGCCTTCGCTCTTCGAAGATCTCAGGCCTTATAGTCTTGGTAATCCGCAGTATTTCAAGCTGCGCACACTACGGGCCACCTTGAAATTAAAACATCCCTGGAGTTGCTCGTCCGATAAACAGGAGAAGCTGCCTGCAGCGTCTCGTGAGAAGATCGATCAATGCTTCAGGCAGCATCGGGTTGCTTCGGTGCATTTTTGAACGTCCGAGCTTCGCGCTGCCGGGTTCTGCGGCGAGGCAAAGCGCGCTACTCGAAGCATGCCTGGACCAGAAGGCTGGCACATGCTGCCACACGACTGCCTCCCGACCTGCTTTTTTCAACAGAGCCACAGAGGCTCCCCTTGTCGACACGGTCGGAAAGGCGGAGCATGAGCTTGGCTGTGTGTTGAGATGCCTCGATGTCGAGCACTTCCCTTTCAGGCCGAGGCGCTGGTGGAGGAGCTGAGGCCTCGGTTAAGGTCGAGGTCGATAGGGCAAGGCATGGCAAGGCCAAAGCCGGGCATGGCATCGCCGACCCAGGTTGCAGGGGGCTGACTGTAGCAGCGGGAAGAAGTCTCAGGCTGGACTTCCAAACTTTCCGAGGTTTGAAATGCATAAAAGCACGGATCCGCTTGTGAGGAGCTTCTGGACCAGGCTGCACAGCTGCTAACTTCAGCCAGGTCTGCCTCTGAATTCTGAGGAAGTCTTTGAAGCTTTGGTCTGTAAGGGCACGGATGAATTCGGCCGGGCGGTTTGAGTGGGTGTGCGCCCCAGAACAGCTTTTCGTGAGTGGATGTTCCACGGTTCAGCGGGCGAAGTTGCCCTCGTGCCTCGCAGACTCGCAGGTGGACGGGCCGCTAGTCACGGCCATGCTGCAGGGGAGTTGGGTTTTGCTGTCCCACGCGGAGCAGGCCAAGTCAGCCAGTCTCCGCTATAGACCAGTGAGATGATGGCTCTGCGCGAGGCTGCGCCTGCTGTCCTTGACCGCTTGAACTCGCTTCTGGAACCAAACGGCTTCCTTCTGCCCACGTCTTGGCAAAGACTCCTTTTCGCCGTGTCTGACTGCCGTGTGCTTTTCAGGCTGACAGAATCGGGAGAGGAGAGGTTGGTGTGGCACGGGTCTCGGCTGCGTAAGTGCCCAGCAGCTGTCATGACACGGGACCTTAGGCCGCACCCCGACTTCCGCATCTTCTTCACTCTGACAACAGGAGGTTTTGTTGCGACAGCCGCAGACTGAGACGGTCCGGAAGCCTCACAAGTGGAGGTCTGAGTTCTAAGGTTTCTCGAGCCCTTCGCAACCGATGTTTGGAAGTCTTTGTCTCGGCAGGCTTGGCGTGACCTGGTGGGTCCGACAAGAGACTGACAGATCAGTCGTGACTGGCAGGCGGTGATGTCCCAGCCCAGTTAGATGCCAAGGCCTGCATCTCGTCAGTGAACCAGACTGCAACTACCTTCTATTAGCATGTGCTCCACGTTCAGGTCGTCGGCTGCGCTGCGCACAGCACCAAAGCGGCGAGCATCCCCAGCAGCTCCAGTGTTACCATTTTGCTCTGCTGCCACCTTCAACAGCGCGAGCCACGATGCTTCAGAAGTGTGCACGGCCTGTGTTGGCTCCCATACACTTTGTAGGGATCTCAAAAGTAGATCCTAGTTGCATTGCCATTGCCCAGTTTGTCCAAGCTCCCCATGCTGCGTCTACTTTCTGCCGGTGTGGTGAGCTGCCTGCTGTGTGCAGTCGCGGGGGACGAAAGCCAATCTGGAAACTTGCGAGGAAACCACAGGGAGGAGAGTGCAAGCGGCGAGGTGGACAACCGCGACTACGAACAGTGTGGTATTCTGGGCGGTCCGCTTAGGCTTGCTTGACTGAGAAAAAGTGAAAAGATTCAGAGTCAGGATACACGCTGTCATGTTTTGCGGCATTTTACGCAGGCATGGCCGCCGAGCGCGCATCGTTCACGGCAAGGATGCGGATCAGTGTGCCTGGCGGTGGCAAGTGAGCATCAGAAGTGCTCGGTCAGATGGCGGGGCGACTGCCTTTTGTGGAGGGACCCTGATTTCACCTGGCTGGGTGCTGACAGCAGCGCATTGTGTTGAGCAGATGAATGTCTGCAAAATGCGGAAGCTGAGAATAGTTGCAGGGGACTGGAAGCAATACTCGGATGACGAAGCAGTCACGGGTCAGTCAATCGAGCGTCGCATCAAGAGAGTTTTCTCCCATCCGCAGTATGACGATGCTGCTGATTCAGATTTTGACATGGCTTTGGTGGTGTCTAGTCAGCACGGTCAAAGACGTACAGTGATGTGTCAGTGTCCAAAATGTCGTCTGAGGCACTTGATTCATGGGGGTGCTCTGGTTTGGTTGTAATTGCTCAGGAGCTGGACAAGCCCTTTCCAATCAACGAGTGCATCGGTGTTGCATGCCTGCCTGCGATGGACGACCGTGCAGATCTGGCTGGAATGGAATGCAGCATCACTGGCTGGGGTACCCTCATGTCGTCAGGCGCTGGTCACTAAAGGAATAGCGCAACATTGAACATGTTCGCTGCCAGCAGGACCCATGCCTGAAGTGCTGCAGCAGGCACCTGCACGGCGCTCAGGCGGCTGTTCAAGTCGTAGAGGGCCCTGAGCTGTCGTTGCTGTCTTCGTCAAGACACCTGGCTGGGCGTGGGTGTGCTTAGGTCACACTGCTGAGCAATGCAGAATGCCAGGCGGATTATGCAAGCCACAACGAGACCATCACTGCTTCGATGATGTGTGCTGCTGGAAACTCCGAAAAAGGCATCACGGACACATGCCAGGGTGATAGCGGAGGCCCTTTGGTTTGCGAGGCATCCGGCCGCTATATTCTGCAGGGTGTTACGTCTTGGGGTGATGGCTGCGCTCTGGAAGGCTATCCAGGAGTGTACGCGCGGGTCTCCTCAGCCCTGGGATGGATCCACGATGTGATGGATGGCAAAGTGGAAGCATCTGACACAAGCGACGAAACATCGCCCACACTTGCTTTCCCTGGGCATGCTATATGGACGGTGCTGAGCGGCTCTTGTCGTGTGGACGAGTCGGACTGCCTTGTCAGCCCCGGATACCCTGGAAACTACAGCAACAAAGAGGCAGCTTGGCTAAGTTAAAAGCCGCTGAGACGCTGAGACTCGAGACCAAGGCTTCCAGGTCCTTTTGCTCTGTGGCACTGTAAGTATGGCTGCCTTCAAGCCGAGGAATGCACAGTCGCGGTGAACGCCTCGGCAGCAGTGCCCATCCATGTGAATGAGTTTTCCACGGAGGCCGGCTATGATAGCCTGCTTGTGAACTGTAAAGCCTACTCGGGTTCTGCGGGGCCTGAAGCAGTGGTTCCTGACACCACCATTTACTGGTATTCAGACGGTTCGGTTGTCAGCAACGGCTGGAAGATATGCCCCAGTGCTGAGACTGCTGAGAATGCTGAGACTGTGCAGACTGCTGAGACTGCTCAGACTGCTGAGACTGCTCAGACTGCTGAGAATGCTGAGACTGCTGAGACTGAGATACTTCCATAGGAAATATGTGGAAGCCCTGGTCTTTCGCGCCCCGTCAACATCGTGGTGTGATATCGCAGAGCAGGGCCTTGAGAAGGAATTCAATCAGCCATAGAACAATATGTTCGAGAAGACGCTACCGTAGCTGTTAGCTGCAACTGCGTCAGCATCCGGGGGCCTGGTCGCCGCACGCAGGTCCAATTCATATTTCAAGTTCTCAGACTTTTGACATTGAGCACAGTTGCATTTGTTACAGTATGTCAACACACACATATATTTGGCAGGATACTGGCAAAGCATCTTGCACATATTTGGCTCAATCATCGCTCGTTTAGTTGCTCAGCCTTCGGATTTGCCCGCACAGACCGAAAGAGATCGTTGCTGGCGATGCTTTCTCAATAAGTCACGCTGCATGAACCGATGGCCTCCCTGTACAGACACTGCGCCGGGCTTCGTCCCTATGGGACAAGCAGCCATGCACAATCATGCTTGTCAGATGCGTGTTTGGGGTCTCTGATGCGCACTTCTCACATTCGTCAGCAGCAGACAGCATTTGCTCCACGATCCAATGTGGCTTGTTTTGCTGCTTCTTTTGGACCCTGAGAAGTTCAGAAGAATCCCCGCGCAATTTGACGGTTCCGGGAACAAGGTAGAGCGCTAACCACTGGCGCGAGGACGATGCTGCAGAAAAACACACGGGTAAGCTCGGCAGGACTTGTGTTGCCATGAATTTTGGAGACTTGACGTGTTGCGGCGGCTACATATCCACAACAAGGGGTTCCAACCACCGGCCCGTCTGCCGTGCAGGTCCATTCGTGCTTCAGCTTCTTAGCAGAAGCGCTGTCGACATTGGCTAGCAAGCTGGAAACCCAGCTATGCCTTGACTTCATGTTCTGCATGCCGTTGCTCCAGTTCAAATAGTATTTAGCAAGATAGGACGGATCTGTGCGAGGCTTTTGGGCTCGCAACGGCCGGAGCTGGCTTGGGTGGCGCACCTACGCGAGCTTGATGAGCTCACCAAGTGTTTAGGAACGATGGTATTAGTCAATCGTCGCGGGTCATCATGACATAGGTTACTGTATATTTGCAGGTGAGGGAGACGCTCTCGAAGGAGGCACGGCTTTGAGAACGAAATTCATGCTTTCTGGTTGCTATGTTTTGCTTTGTCTGGGGTCGAGGTCGCCTTGTTCCAGCCCTCGCCGGCCGCGCTCGTCGATGCCACGCGCCTGGTCTTGGCGGAGGTTCCTGACCTGCACCGCGTTTTTCACGGGGCCTGCGCTCGTGCTCGCAGGCAACTCTCCCGTCGCCCGTGGCGCTGCACCTGGCGACCTTACACTGCCTGGCACATGCGCCGCAGTCTAAGGAAGTGTCCAACGCCCACGAAAGCAACAAGTATCGGCTTCCCATCGTTTGGGGAGGGCAACCTTGCGAGCCACTGAAGGCTCTGGCTCGGACTGCGCCGGGCAGCCCTGGAGCGAGGCGTCCGTGCAAAGGTCGCTTCCGCAGCACTTCCATTACAAGCAATCCTGCTCTTCCAGGAGCTTCGGAAGGGAAGGAGGCACACCGATTTACCCTTCACTGCTCACGAGGGACCGGTGATGACGGCATCCATAGTTTGGTGATCAAGAAGCTTGTTTCTCTGGTGTTACTTAAGATGAAGAGTCTAGAGCTTTAGAAGCACCTGTTCTCTGATTTCCGGCTCATTGCAATCATTCGTTTCTATGCGCTGACTGCCCCTTCACAAACAATTTTTCCGTCCGCCTAAGATTTCTTCTCCGTGACATCGTGCTGGCGAGATCTGCTGTGTGTGGCGCCGGAAAGCTTGCAGCAGGCCCCGGCCAGTCAGCAAGCTCGAGAAGCCTGGGCGGGATCTTCAGCATGCTCCCACCGCACGGCAGTGTCGGCCGATACTGATTTCTGCCAGCACAAGACGGAACGAAGCAGCACATCCGCATCGCCGCAGCCGTCAAGCTGGCAAAGGTCTCACCAGTTTGCCTTTCATGCAGTCCAGACTCCAGACATTGGCAGAGGCAGCACACGAAGCTTGCTTGACGGATCATGATCAGCAGTCCTCGTCACTGCCTTCCATCAGAGCGGTATCGGGGCGCCTTAGCCAATGGCTTCCGCATGCCTCCAGCCGAGCTGCAGCAGGTTCCAGATTCCGGAGTCCGACGTCTTTGTTGCAAGAACTGTTTGCAGAAACTCACAGGTTCAACTGGAGCAGGCACGACCTTCAGACCTCTGGCGTGACAGGAAACTGAGAGGTCCTGTGGGTTGCTGATGGCAGGTCGATCTTCGATCTCCGGTGGACTTGCTGCTAAGCCTGATCATCAGGTGGAACCATGAAAGGAGAGAGGTCTTTTTGGCGCTTCCCTCGGCATCTGCAGGCCGCCGCGATGTCGTTATACCCCATCGAAACTCGGGCCATCGACCTTCCGAATTGCAGATAAGGCCGGAGGATTGAGCTCGAACTGTTTTTGTTTTGCTTGCTTGCTCACCATGATTGCCAGAGTCAGTGCTGCAGCGCTTAAGCTGCAGGGACATGGGCGACGAGAGGATCTGGTGCTTCAGAACCCGCGTGGTCAGTCGCTGCAGATGCCTGTCTGCACTCGGTCCATGTTGGGATTTGGACAGCCGGAGGCTTAAACTCCATGCAGGTGCTCGCTGTTCGAGCCCATCCCTGACCCGGGCCAGCCGGAGGATCGGGAGTCGGGAGGCCGCAACGTGGGCCGGCTACGTAGGTCTGAAGCGCCACCAGGAGAACTGGTCATCACGGGACCGGCCCTGCGCTGCTTGTCCTGATGCTGCTACGCACCTTGCGATGCTTAAGTGCATGTTGGCTGGGTAAGCCGAGAGGTCATCTTTCTGCACGGGAACTCATCATGCCGATTGGAAGCTCTGCCGCTGCTACCGCCTTGTCCTTACACGGCCGGCTGGGCGTGTTGAATCTCTGTATACCTGCTAGCTGTTGGGCCGATGCTGTCGTGTAGAACGTCTGCTTAAGGCTGCTGCTGCCACTGCGAATCAGCCTTTTCTGCTTCGACTTCGCGGGCTGTGGAATCTCAGAAGGTGACTACGTGTCGCTCGGGTGGTGCTTCGGTCGCAGGAAGCTCGTGTTTGCGCAGATCAGCCCGATTTAGCCACACTCCGATGCAGCGATCCTGCCTTTTAATTGCAAGGTTTTTGCGGTCCCGAGGTTTGAGCGAGACGACTTGGCCACGTGCATCGCCCACCTGCGATCAACTGGGAAAGCCTCGCAGGTGGCGCTTTGGGGACGATCGATGGGGGCCGTCACAGTGCCCTTGAAGCATGCACCAGACTCTGCCAGTCAAGAAGAGTTCGTGTCACACCAACGGGTCCTCTTGATTAAGGGTGTCCCGTAACTGGATCTAAAGCTCATTGCAGTTTGAGGTTTCCTGCCAGCCCAGGCTTTACTGCACGCTGATCGCGATCCATCAATTTCAGCCCTGGTGCTGGACAGTCCGCTTGGATCTCAAAAAGCAGTGCAGGGGCACTGTAGGGTCCGTGGTTTAAACGTGGCGCAGAGGTTTGCTTCTCTCCGGGACCTCGCGACGGAGCTGGCTGGCAGGAAGGCCCAGACATGACATAGTCAGTGCCTGCTTCTCCTTCTCCGGTTGAACCTGATGAAGGCCCCAAGGCACCCGGAGTGGTTGATCTCCCCACAGGCTCACGAAGACCTGCAAAGGACCCGACTGCCACTTCAGTGGCTGAGCAAAGCCCCTTAGTGGCGTGAAATAGCACAATGTTGCCACCGCCAGACAGCTTGGCTGATGCTGCAAAGGTTTTCCAGCACACCATATACCCATCCACGTGCGTCGGTGCAGTGAGCGCGACGAAGTGCGCAAAACCAGCGGAGTGATGGATAGATTTGCATGTAGTTTCCTGTTGGCTACACTAGCAGTTTGGAGAGTTGAGTGCTTGAAGTCCTGGCTTGCCTGGCGACAGGCGATGCTACCGTCGTGGGCCACACGTGCTTCTCCTCAGCTCTAGCAAGAAGCAGAGCGCCGAATGCGTCACACCGAATTCAGAGTCTGCAAGGTTTAGTCCGCTGCAGGTGCCATCATTCCGGGAGCCCGAGCAGCCATCCGAGCTAGGGCGGGATTTGACATCGAGGACCTTTTTGGGCCGGGATGCCGGGATGGATCAGGAATTTTGCGAGTTCGATGGTCAGTTGGAGCCTGCCCCCCCCGCTTTTAACTTTTCACATTTGTTGGTCCTGGCTGCGGATGTGCGATACAGACACCCGGGCATCTAGCCACGTGAGGGCTTGGCACACAAGTCTAAGGCCTCCAGCTTTTCTAGCCGGCTGTTGACTCCCAGGGTCTTTTGAAATGAGAGGACTTGGAAGGCAAGAGCCATGCGAGACAGTGCTTCATGCCAGCTTTGTGTCTTAGCTGCAGCGAATTTCCGTCCCTCGTATGCTGTCATCCGTGATCTTGCAGCATTACCAGGTTCATCGCTGCGCGCAATGATGACTTCATCACACCTCAGCATGCTGCCTCCTGGCCGGCTTTAGTGCACCCCGGTGTCAGGTCGGCGTAGCGCAGTTATAAAACCTAGCCGCGAAGGCTCCTTGATTTTCAGTGCCTTCAGGAGCAGCTCTGGCAAGCGTACCAGGGGGAGAAAGAGTTGTATCTGACGGAGGGCGACCACCACTCCGCAAGATCTGTCGTGTGCAGGTGGAGAAATGCATAAGGTTGAGTAAAGGTTGTGGACTCGGCAAACGCGATCTGTCTGTCAGGCAGAAGGCCACACTCTTCTTGTGCCGAGCCCTGCACGTCCCGCGGCTGGTCCATGCCTCAGTTTCTTGGGTTTGCTGTTGGGTTCTGACCCTGTAAGTAAGGAGTAAGGAGAGGCCCATTTGTCCTCTTGCACTTGCTCAGCGCTTTGGAGGACGCCTTGCTGGAGCTCCACGTCGCAGGGCTCCGGGACCTCTTCGGACCTGGACAGGGCGGCACTGGGACTCTCCCGAAGCCCACGCAAGGCCTGGGCCTGGTGAGACCCGAGCGGAGCACGGAGCGCGACAGCAGGCGACGCGATGCGACCCTGAGGCAAGAATTTAGAACGAGAAGGCTCTGAGATCTGCTGGCAGGCCTTGGCTTTGAAAATCCATTAATTTGTGATGGCGTTGAACGGACACGCTCGCTGTTCAGATGCGATTGGTGCCAGCTCTTGGGCAGATGACGCTGAGCAATGGAAGACGATGCCAGCGGCCTGTGAGAGCAGAAGCCGTGGTGGAGCTCAGCGACAGCAAATCAGAGGCAAAGCAGAGTGCAAGCGGTACTGGGCTGTGTCGTGCCCTTGTTGACCCCATGTAGTCTCGCACGCGTCGCACAATGACGAGGGCCACCTGCCCGTGACTCGTGGTAGACCGTCAAGAGGTTTGTCTTGTGCCCACTGGTGTTGTGATGACAGGTTGGGTTCTTTATCCGCTTGGTGCCGGCAGAGGGCGTTTTTGACGAAAGCTGTCCCAAACTTGATGAGCTCGGCCAGCCGCGCTTTCTCGTTGTGAGCTTCACAGCCGAGATGTCGATGGTGGCTCGGATGCTCTAGAAGTTCTTGCGCCTAAGACATGATGACTAGAGCCCATTTCAGGTTTCCAGGGTGCACAGCGACACTCTTCGGACCCTGGTGGTGGGGCCAGGCCTTCGTGACGAGCAGGCGGTCGGCATCGGCCTCACATTCGATGTTGCGGGTAACATCTGTCTCTATGCGGAGCCTCGGGCATAAACTTAGCACCGGGCAGCTGAGTTTTTTCTGTTTTTTTGTAGTGCAGTTGTTTTGGCTTTTGGCTTTGACTTCTCGGATCTGGGCGTTCCTTGCTGGTCTGCTGTCTTTTTTGGGCTTCTTGGCTTATGGGCGTTCCTTCCTGGTTTGCTGTCTTATTGGCTTCCAAATTTTCCTTCTTAGTGTTAAAACTATTTGGCTTCCTGGCTTCTTCACCTTGGCTTGGCTTCCTGGCTTCTTCACCTTGGCTTTCCGGCTTCGTGGCTTAGCGGATTCCTAGCTTCCTGGCTATGAACGGGCGGGTTTAGGACATGTGATTAACTGCGATCGCCAAACGAGGGGGCGCGTTTAAGACATGTGAGCAACCGGGAACGCCAAATGAGGGCACGGGTACAAGGTATGTGGTCAACCGCGGTCACTAAATCAAGGGCCGTGCTTACGACATGTGATGTACCGGGATCGCCAAAGGAGGGGGGGGGTTGGAGAAACGTGATGGACCATAGTCGCCGATTGAGAGGGCGCGTTTAAAGATGCATGATGAACCGGAATCGCCAAGCGAGGGGGTGTGTTTAAGCTATGTGACGAAGCGGCCTCGTACCTGTTCAAGTTGTATGATGAACAAGTCGCCAAATGAGGAGCGTGTTATGATGAACCGGAGTCGCCAAGGGAGGGGGCGTGTTTCAGATATGCGAAGAACCGCAATCGCCAACTGAGGGGGGCATGTGTAAAATATATGATGAATCCGAATCGCCAAATAAGGGGACCTGTTTCAGATGGATGTTGAACCGGAATCGTGTGTACGATATATGATGAACCGGAATCGCAAAATGTTGGCAGTTGGGGCGTGTGACAGATATATGATGCACCGGAATCGCCAAATGAAGGGGCCTGACGGGCCTGTTTGAACTATATGAGGAACCGGAAGTGCAAATCGACTTTCACGGGGTTTGTGTTAGTTGTTCGTGTTATTGCAGTTTTCAAGCTTCACTTGGTTATCGCCGAAGATGATCGTGAACCGGAATCGCCAAATGAGGAGGCATGTTTAAGATATATGCTGAACCGGAATTGCAAATTGGTTTCTTTGTGTTTTGTGCTAGTTGTAGTGTTTTTGTTATGTTATCGCCAAACGAGGTGGCGTGTGTAAGATAGATGATGAACCGGCATCGCGAAAACGCGGGCGTGTTTAAGAAATGTGATGAATCGGAATCGCGAAAAAGGGGGGCGTGTGTAAGATAATTGATGAATCGGAATCGCCAAGTGAAGGGGGCGTGTTTCAGATGTGTGATAGAACGAAATCGCCAAAGGAGGGGGCGTGTTGTAGACATATGACGAAGTGGAATCGCAAAACAGGGGAACGGTTTAGATATGTGATGAACCGGAATCGCCAAATGGGGGGCGTGTTTACGATGCATGATGAAACGGAATACACACAAACAAATGCTAAGTGACCCGGCACTCTCCGGATGGCCTAGCAGAATCGGGCTATCTTGTGCAAATTGCAAAAGGCAAAGAGCTCGAATGAGCAGAGAAGCTTGCAAATGTACATTCCGTTTGAAGTTGCCACTTCAGACGGCTTGGAGTTTGCAATTACCTAGAGCTTGCTTGAAAGCCAGGAACTTTACGGGAAACAATACTTAAAATAATTCCGTAGCCTTACAGCTCAGTCGCACTACTTTAGTTGCCGTCGGGTGCTGTCCACCAACCCAGGATTCGCGGCAGCTGCTTACTCTCGACATTGGCTGGGGCTTCCGGGCAGAGTTGACAATCTGGTCAATGCGGCTAAGAGGAAAGAGCGGCTTTGGAAGCCTCCAGATAGAGGATGCAGAGGCAACGCTTTGTGAACACCTCGGCGATGCAGTCCTACGCTCCCGGCATCTGGGTCACGCTGAAGGCGTTCTGCTGCTGAACCAGAGGTCGCTCTGCAGACCTCTGGGAGATTTGGGCCTCTGTGGCTGTGCCAATCAAGCCGGCAAGGGTCCGTACTGTCCGTCGTCCCCTCACTCCCCACCAGATCTGGATGCGAAGGAGTGCCCTGCCTGCCTTATTCACCCTGCATCGCTCGGAAGTTCGGGAATGCTGAGTGCCCTAAGGCGCGCTGATGCAACTCGTCTCTGCGGCAAGACTCCCGAGGCTGGGTCAGCAACCGGTTTCGTGGCCTCGCCTCGTTGCCTTTGCTTTGAGCCTCAGAGGTGCTGATCGGCTGGCGAGTCAAGGTTCAGGGCATCGGAGAGGGTATCGTCACCGCTATCCGAAAGAGGCACTTCCGTCCGACACTCTTCCAGATTTCAGGCGCGGCCTTGCAACGCTGCTGCAGCTGCAGACAAGGTAACTAGATCATTTTCGCATAGCTGGGTTAGAACAACGAACAAATGAATGACGCCGTGAAACACGGTGGCTAGTGCAGGTCTGCTGTCAGACCAGCTTGATGGCTTTTCGCCCCCTGCGAAGCTGCGCGAAGTTCCACTGCGAAGGCAGGCGTGAGCCACTCAGTTGCTGACATTGGCTGATTCCCATCACCATTCGTGCAAGTGCTTGCCTGATTTGCAAACCATGCAACCCAGGCCCTTGCTTCCTTGCTGCGCGGGGTACCACTTTGAGCTCATGCGAAAGGAGATCTTTTTTGAGAAAGCCGTTTGCGTTTGAGACGCAGCGGCTTCACTAAACACAGGTGTGCACAGCTGGGGGTCCTGCCTGACTTCCGTAATGTACAGCGCGGCATCACCACCCTACTACCACTTGTGCAAGAAGTTCAACAGCCAAGATGCGTGGTTTCCAAAGAGAGAAGCTTGCGCAGAACGATGCACTTAGACGTTTGCTATCTGCATCCTGTTAATGATGACACGTGTCTTAACACGAGACATGCCCAGCTGCCGCTTTAGGCAAGCGGGAGTACCTGGAGTGCTCTGGGTCTATTGTGAATACCCCTCGTATGCTCACAACGAAAAAGAGCTGCTTCGCAGAAGTTTACAAGCCCTTCGGAAATTCACGACCGCGCGCGCACGTGGGAATGCTGCAGGCCAAGCGTCTTGGCTGTCCGGGTTTTGGGCTTCGGGTCGGCACCCCGGCATGGCAGCTCAGGTAGCTGAGTAGCTGAGGTTCTCAGAGATTCTCAATAGTTTCTTGACGGTGTCTTAGGCTTTGAGGAAGCTCCTGGCGCTCTTCTCCGCGGCTGTTGCTCGGAGTCCCTCAGGCCTGCAGTCAGCAAGGCAGCCAAAAATGGGTTCTGACTTGGATCCTTCCTCTGCCGAGATGCCTCGGCTGGCGCCCTGCTGCAAGCGAGCTTCCAACAGGCCGTACAGCATTCCTTGTGTCATGCTGGGAGCAAGTACGGCCTTGGCACAATCACATTTTTCTGACGAGATGTTTGGCAGGTTTACAGCGCAGAGGCCTACGCCACCAAGCTGGAGGCAGGTTTTTTTTTCTGCCCATTTGCAGGAGCGAAGAGCTGTGTACACGTTGACATGCGATCTCATCGTGTTCACCCAGCTTCCCCGCCTACCGGCCTGCCCGGGCCGAAATGCGAGGCGGCTGTGCATTTATTTCCACAGCAGTGCTGCAAACCCCTTGAGCGTTCGAGAAGTCTTCTGCAGAAAATTTGTCACTCGAGCATAGTCGTGAATTCAGGGATCGGCCAGAGCTCGGAGGAAACCCAGGGGAATTCGAGCTTGTGTCAAGATTTCCTCTTGCATTCCAAGTCTCCTTCAGCTTCCGTCAATGTTGCACAATCTCCTTTAGGTTTTCTCTCATTTTCGTCCACTCCCATTCCAGACCTGGGCCTTGTTGTTGGCTTTGGTCTAATCTGGTCATGTGGCTGCTCTGCCAGTCGACGCTTCTTCGTCTCCTGGCGTGCAGCTGCAGGGAGTTGCCACAGTCCCAGTGGTCTTTCAACGTGAGCTGAGAGAAGGTTTCGCAATCACACGTGCCAGGGCGAAGTCGACAGCCTTCCGATGGTGCCTCGGAAGAAGAGCAGTGGCTTCATGAAGTTTTTCCATCGAGATCATCGCAAGACCATGCAGGGCTCCTTGCAGAGAAATCTGCGTGCCATTGCTCAGGTTAGCAGCGGCTTTGCACTCCTCGCTGCTGCCTGTCGGATCTAAGACCGACGAGGCAATTCAAGCGTTGTGGGTGGGAGCAGCGGGAGAACCGTGAGAGCCCGGCACCAGGCCGAGAGACGGTGGAGGCCTCAGCTGGCAGGAGCTTCGAGGGCCTGTACAAGCGCCGCACAGCGCATGTCTTACACCGGGGTTGCATCCTGCCAAGTTTGGGGCCCTTTATGGCAAGCCTGGCAGAAGAGGTGGAGAACGTGTCTCAGGCAGCATGGTTTCCGTGCCGCCGAAGCCTGCAGCAAGAGCAATTCTGTACAGCTGCAGTCTGGTCGCTTCCTCGCTACAGGAAAGCTCGCGCTTCGCTGCGCTCTACCTGGATCGGGTCGAAGTGGCATGTATTGACGATGACTGCACATGTGCAGTCAGATCATGGGTGCCGCACAATGTCTTGCTCACAACGGGAAGCTCATGTGATTGAGCTGCAGCCTCTTGCCTTGCCTCCGCCCTGCCGAGAATGACTCTCCAACTCTATAAACTTCTGCAGGTAGCCAACCCTTCCGTGCATCATCTGGAGCTGCTGGCGAAGCTGTGGCGAGGCACGGCAACAAAAGGAAAGAAAGGTATTGCGTGAGTTTGAGACCACCGGGTCCCACGAAAGAAGAGGAGCTTTCGGACAGTGCTACGGCGGCCAAGCGAGAGCCCCCTGTGAATCTCTGACTTCGTAGCGGCGTGTCCTCTTGGCGGTTCAATGAGCCCTGCCGTAATGTGGGACCATGGCCGGTCGCCCTCTGTTTCAAAATCAAGCTTACAGGTTTAGAAGTGCACCGGAAAACCCCACAGCATCTGGACAGGCAGCACAAGTGGCAAAGCTGGAGCCTTACCGACATGCGGGCTGACCATGCTGGCCAGCAAAGTGCATCCGTGGATGCAGCGTCCCCCGAGAAGGGTCGACTTAGGCAGATGCGCTGAAGCTGCTCTCGCAGCACCGCTTGCTAGCAGCTGCCCGACTGCACCAGCAGCTTTTCCAGCCTCTGCATAGGATCGGTAAGAAGGCAGCAGAGACTTTTCAAACACTAAGAGCAAAGAAGTGATGGTACGAGGAATTGGTGCCGAGAGCAACGGATGCGTCGTGGTCCCAGGGGGCACTCGAACCCAGCTTCTCGCTTCTCCGCTGATTTTGCTGTGCTTCAAGGCTTGCACGCGAGCTGGCAGTGTATCTCGGGCTGGAACGGCTTTGGTGAAGTGAAGCACAGCCATCTTGTCTGTCGGGAACAAAGGAAGTCCGTTTCGATGCAGACATGCTCACTTCGCGATGCTTCGCACCCAGACCGGAATGGGATGTGGTGCTTGCGTTCTATGACGTATCAGCAAAAGTCTGCTCCGGTGAAGTTTCGGGATGAAGACCTTGCAGCGGGCGGGCCGCGCGTGACGTGAGCTGAGGCCTGGAGCTTGGCCAGCTGTGGCCAGGCTTCGACGAGCGAGACCGCCAAAGTTTATGTCTCAGAGCCGGCCTGTGCCTGTCACGTGAGGGTTACAAGCTCAAACGCAGTGACCTAGCATTCAACAGCTCTAGAACATGTGGGCTTCTAATCGATTCGGGCTTGCAGGTGTGCCTGTATGCAGCCAAAAAAGAACAGCTGAATGGCCTCCCTAACATCGACGGGTCGTGATGTCTGAAGTAGGTTGCGGCTGAACACCTCTTCGAGTTGCTTCGATGCGCAAAGGCCAGGGCTCAACGTTCCAGCTTCTCTCATACCTAGTGGGAGTGGACTGTGGCATACCACACGTTGTGCTTCTGAAGGTCCTGGCACTTCATATGCTGAGAGCTTCTCCTTCCGTGGCGCTGCTTCCGGACACCAACACGCGTGGCAAACATGCTGTAGGACATGACCCACCTTTGGCCTATGTGGTGTCCTGCAGGATGGAAGTGTGGGAGAGAGCGCTTGGGCTCTAAGCGCACGCTTTCAAGAAGGCCCTCAGCGAGTTGCCAGTCTAGTTAAGTGCTGAAGCCGATGTCAAGCCGACAGTCCAGAGCATAGATGCAGTCACCGTTAATCACTTCTAACAACGGCCTGATGGCAGCCGTGCGAAAGGTTTGGTGCCACTCGCTTCGCTGTCAGACACTCGGAGAAGTGCGATGTGTACATGGCTGCCGCTGGCTTAGCTTTGTCGGCCGAGGCCCCACCCAGCCCTGACGGTGCTCCAGCCACTGGTGCAGACGGTCTCAGAAGGCCTGCAGCGACTGTGTTTGCTGGGCGAAACTCCTGTGCCATGGTACTTTGCGACGTAGTGCGTCTCTTGTCAGGGCTGCTGGAGAGCTTGGGTGAGGCCCCTGCCCATGCGGGCCAGAACGCCACCTCAGAGTCCTCCGAGGCGAGGCCGCGGTGCGGCCGTGTGAGCTTGGGGTGCGCGGATGCCAGAGCTCAGTCCCCTGAGATCTTGCTGCATCTGCGAGTGGGAATCGGCCAGAGACTCGGGGCCGTGAGCTGTGCACGCTGAGACGCTCCCTTCACGCCGTCCCTGCGCCATGTTGAGGCCTGGTCGGCCACCTGCAATCGCTGCTGGAGGCCGGGGCTCGAGAGATCCACTGGCCCTGCCCCCTGTTGCCCTGCAGGGCACGGCGCTGGTCTCCGCCAACTCCAAGTCTCAGGCCACATACGGACGCTTTGCGTATCCCTGGCGTATCCCTTGACATTTGGATCTATGAAGGCACAGCGGCTTGCCTGGACACGCATGGAGCCGAAAGCATCTCGGCCGGCAGTGCACCGGAGAGGATTTCTGGTCTGCGCCTTTGTGCGATGCTGGCGAGGCCCTGAGTTTGTTGCAGCAGTTGTACGCGGCGCTGAAGAAGCTGCCGTCGACCTCGGCTCCCTGGCTTGAGCGCTTGGGCCTCACAGCTCCATAGCTCCGTTTGTGCCGCCGCAACCTTTTTCGTTGTGGCTTCGAAGGCGTGTCTACGCTGATCGCGCGCCTGCGCTCCTACCTGGCTTCCAGTGGGTCTGCATGGGATCCAGATGTCGTAGCCTCAACGAAGCGGGGCAGAGGGGCAGATTCGGAGTGTGCCTGCATGTGCCTGCTTGAGGCCAGCCGCTTGCGGCTGAAGCTCCTACCGCTGATGGATGCTCCGAGTGTCCGCCACTCCTGTAGTCTCTGCTTGTCCGGCTTTTAAGCGTCCGTTGAATGCAGGCGTGGGCAGGATTGGCCCCACCGATGCGATGTGCCGAGGAGTTCTACGTCGAATCGTCCGGGTCTTGCCGCCCGTTTGCCGGCATCGTGGCGACAGCAAACAGAGATTCTGTCGTTGCGAGCTGCATTGCATGGTCTCTCAGGCTGATTTTCTCTGCTGCCATGAATCGTCCGACCGCATCAAGCTTATCGACCAGGCAGTGGCCTTCTGAAAGCTAGGGCCGCACTGCGCTTTTTCCGGCCGGTGTAACCAGACGAGACGAAGCCACAACGGGGAAGGGTGCGCAGCGTTGCCAGGAGCCCCGTGGAATTGGCCAGATGCTCGGCACCGGCTCTAAATCCCCGATGCTCCCCCTTGCCGCCTGGCCTTCCCTCATCATTCTTTCGTGTCCAGCCGTCCGACTCCGCCTT